TCCCTGAGGTGTGGAACGAACGGCACTGCCTCTCCAGCCCGCCGAGCCCCGGGGCTTGGAGGCCTTGTCTGTCTCAGGACAGTATCCCTCCCCTTGAATGTGACACGAGGGCGAACTGGGGGTTCAGAGAAGCCCCGAGTTTTCTGGTGGGGCTGAGGCCAGTGAGGGAGTACCTGTTTGGGGGTGTCTGCATGTGTGAGAGAGGGCACCCTCAAACCTCCCTGCTGGCCAGGCCTCCTTGCACGCAGGAGTGCAGCTGGCCCCTGGCGTTGAGGACTCGGAAAAGAAGCACAATCTTCGGAGAAAAAGGACCCAGAGCCAGCGGCAGCGTTGGCACAGGGCCTGGCTTAGGGTGACGTGTGTCCCAGCCAGGCTTCCTGGGGGGACATTTCTCTCTCTCTCTCTCTCTCTCTCTCTCTCTCTCTCTCTCTCTCTCTCTCCTTTTTTTTTTTTTTTATGATTGCACAGCTCTGCCCCATGGGGGGCCTTTTTTACACACTGCGAGGCCCAGCTTTCTGGGGGACCTTTGCACATGTCATGTGGCTCAGCTGGGAGCCGCGAAAGGAAAACTCCAAATAAAGTGCGGCCTATCGCAGAGTCTCGGCTGTGTGTTCTGTGTGCGGAGTGCTCCCCTTGCTGGCTGCCTTCTGGCCCCTCACACTGAATCAGGCCCCAGGGAGGCAGAGGCCAGCTGGCTGTCCCCTGGAGGCCTGACCCAGGCTGAGGGGAAAGGCCTGGGGCAGAAGCCACCCTGCTGGGCCATCAATCTGGTGAAGCCTGGGATGTTGGCAGAATGTTTGCAGAAAGAACCAGGACGGGGGAGGGGGTATTAAGGATGTGGGATTGGTCCTCGGATTTCTGCAGAGCTGGCGGGTGGGAGGGAGGTGGACACTGTTCCAGAAAACAGTCCTGGGAGGCCAACTGCTATTCACCCCGATCTCATGGATGTTCTCCAAGTTAGGACCATAAAATGTGAGCACTGCCTCCAACAGGAATGCTCCTCACCCAGCAGGCAGGCAGCACCAGAGGCAAAGCCCACAACCTTTACGCCAGCCAGGTCCTCTTCCTGAACCCCTCAGCCTTTCACTAGCCTCCATGGCCCCCCAGCCTCTCCCTGGCCTCCCTGGCCTCCCAGTCTCTCCCTGGCCCATCAGCCTCTCCCTGTTCTCCCTGACCCCCCAGCCTCTCCCTGGCCCACCAGCCTCTCCCTGTTCTCCCTGACCCCCCAGCCTCTCCCTGGCCTCCCTGGCCCCCCAGCCTCTCCCTGGCCTCCCTGGCCTCCCAGTCTCTCCCTGGCCTCTCTGGCCACCCAGCCTCTCCCTGGCCTCCCTGGCCTCCCAGTCTCTCCCTGGCCTCCCTGTTCTCCCTGACCCCCCAGCCTCTCCCTGTTCTCCCTGACCCCCCAGCCTCTCCCTGGCCTCTCTGGCCCACCAGCCTCTATGGTAGTGTCCCTGATGCATCAGCCTCTATGGTCTCTACCAGCTGCCTCCAACCTGCTCTCCACATTGCAGCCAGAGGGGTCGCATCAAAGGGATTATGCTCCCTCCTTTTCAGGGCCCTTCTGTGACTCCCTCCTGCTCCAAGCTAATGTCTATTTTTCCAAACAAGGCCTCCAGGTTCAGGTCCAGCTTCCCAGCCCATTCTTTCCATAAGCCCCTGAGTCAGGCATAGTGCTCATTCCCCACTGCACCGGCCAGCTCCAACCCCTCTCCACAGCCTCTGGTTCCCCAGGCCCCGTGCCTGCCGGAGTTTGGACCTCTCCACCTTCTCATTTTCCTATCCAACAGGGAGCTTCTCTGGACCAGCTCCCACTCCCACACTCCCTGGCACATGCCTCTAGCTGCATTACTGTCTGATCTGTGACCATGTACCCACCTTCCCCACCCCACTGAGCTCCCTGGCCCTGGCAGACTGACACAGACAGATGTGATGAATGAATAAATGAACAAGCAACTGAGTAGCTGAGGTGGGGGGAGGGGAGGAGGAAGGGCAAAGAAGCACTTCACTTGATAGATTCCCCAGTTCTTAGACCCACTCCTGGACATGCTGGTGGGTCAACGCCAAAGCCCCCTCCTCCACCTTGCTGCTCAGTCGCCTGCCTCCATGCTCCCCTTTAAGTGTCTTCTCTTCCTTCGCCCTCCCTCATTCACTCTGACCTCTTTCTGTGTGTCTGCCCCCTGCCTGGGACATTTCCCCCTCTCCCCTCAATCCTGAGCAAGCTCCTTGAAGACAGGAATCATATCTTATCAATCTTGTGTTCTCAGCCTCTTTGTGGCCACATTTGAAAAACTGCCAGCTGAATGAAGGATGTGAGATGAATGTGACCAGCCCAGATCTGTACTTTATCTGATAGACCCACTGAGGTGGGTCTGCTCTCTGAAGGATCCACACACTCCTGACCATTAAGGGCCAGTCCTGTGCCAGGCCCTGGGCCAGATGTTTCCACACACGCCGCTCCCTCTGCCTCACCCGCAGGTGTGAGAGTTTCCCTGCACGCGTTGCTGTCCTCTCACATACTGATAGGTTTGCAGACATCCAGCCCGCTGCTTTCTCTGAGCCACAGTGTGGCCCTGGGTGCTGAGCACTTACGGGCTCCATCTCGATCCTAACAGCCTATGAGGTGGGCATGCTGTTATCTGAAGAAACCAAGGCCCTGAGAATGGTGGTTATGAACCCGAAGTTATACCTCCAGCTAGCAGGGCAGAGATTCAAACCAGGTGTGCCCAAACCCCGAGCCTCTTACACAAATAACCAGCAGATGGTACCATCTGGATGCTAAGTGCTCTAAACGTCCAAACACCATGTCCAAACACTAGGGTGCCTGTTTGTTAAAAGAGCGGAAGAAAGACCTGGCCGGGTGGCTCAGTTGGTTGGAGCATCATCCCGTACACCAAAAAGTTGTGGGTTCGATTCCTGGGTAGGGTGCATTTAGAAGGCAACCAACTGAAGTTTTTCTTTCACATCGATGCTTCTCTCTCTGTCCCCTTCTTCTCTCTGAAAAATCAATGAAAAAAACACACACATATTCCCAGATGAGAATTACTAAAAAAAAAAAGGGGGGGGGGGGAGGAAAGAGAGGACCTCTCCAGCATGTTCATCTCACAAAGTTCACTCAGGAATAGTATTCTTTTTTATTTATTTTTTATTTTTTAAAATATATATATATATACTTATTGATTTTAAAGAGGAAGGAAGAGGGAAAGATAGAAATATCAATGATGAGAGCGAATCATTGATCAACTGCCTCCTGCAGCATATGCCCTTGACAGGAATCGAACCCGGGACCTTCCAGTCCTCAGGCTCACACTCTACCCACTGAGCCAAACCAGCTAGGGCATCGGGAATATTATTCTTATACAGCTGCACAGGCCAGAAGCCTGGAAATCCCCTAGGTTTCTCACTCCCCAAACATATCCAATCCAAAACCCAGTTTTGTCCATTCTAACTTGAAGTATCTCAAATCCATCTGCTTCTCCTCATTCCCTATGATCACTACCTGAGTTCTGTCCACCATCAGCTCTTTCCACAATGGTTTCTGCTCCTTCAATCTTGTCTCCACACAGCACCATCACATGGCTATCTCTAAAACATAAATCTGGTAATATCATTTTCTCACTTGAAATCCTTCTGAAGTTTCAGGATAACTTTGTCCAGATTCTTTTCTTTTTTTAAGATTTTTTTTTATTTCAGAGAGGAAGGGAGGGAAAGAGATAGAAACATAAATGATGAGAGGGTATCATTGATTGGCTGCCTACTGTACACACTCCATCTGGGGACTGAACCTGCAACCTGGATATGCCTTTGACCAAAATTGAACTCAGGACCCTTGAGTCCGCAGGCCGAAGCTCTATACACTGAGCCAATCCGGCTAGGACTTGTCCAGATTTTTTATCTTTTATTGGAGGCACTAAGCCTTTGCACAAGCTGTTCCTCTTTCCTAGAATGCCCTCTTGTAATAATTTCTATCCCTTTCATTCTAATGGCAACCTTTTGAGCCCCCTCCCCCTGACCCCATGGGTTAGTTACCTCTGATATTTCCGGTACTTCTCACATGTTAGCAATGAACACACTGCTTTGCAAGCGCCTGTTCACTAGACTGCACCTCACTACCGTGTTTCCCTGAAAATAAGACATCCTCCGAAAATAAGACCTACTTATAGGTTTTCTTCTGAGTGAAATATAAGGCATTCCCCCAAAAATAAGGCCCCCTAGGCTAAACATGAGAGATTTGGCCCACTGATTCTGAAAGAAATGGAGTCACAAGAAATTCACCAGGAAATTCAGGAATTGGATTGTTATGATGATGTTCCAGAAGATGATAACATGATTGTCATTGAATAAATGAGTAAATTCTTGATTCTGTAGGATTCACAGTTTGTCTGGTTTGTGTTGACAACTACTGTACTACCATATCGTATACAGGTAATAAATTTCCTTTATTTTCATTTAACAATAAATGTGTACCGTATTCTTCTTCATGGAAAAATAAGTCATCCCCTGAAAATAAGACCTAGCGCATCTTTGGGAGCAAAAATTAATATAAGACACTGTCTTATTTTCGGGGAAACAGGATAGACAGGAACATCATTAACTTGTTCACCCTTTTGTGAATGAAACAATCTGTGCTCATTGTTAACTATGTGCCCTGTATACACGATGGAGACCCAGACCTTGTCTTCGAGAACAGGAAATGCTTCCTTGGAGACCTCTCGGAGTCTTACCTGCAACCGGCTCCACACTTTTGTCCAACGAACAATCGAACGTCCTTTGACAATCCCTGATGCCGCGCGGACTTCTGGGAACTGTAGTTTCGGATTCGAGCCCCGCTCCGCGGCGCAGCCTTCAGACTTCCGGCCGTTTGCAGTAGATGCGCATGCCCCGGGAGGCGGGGTGGTGGCACTGCGCATGCCCACAGGGTGCAACCCAGAGGGCGGTGCGCCGCGGAGGCGGGGCATCGGGGACTGGGCTTTCGCGGCCGGACTGTCTGTCTGTCTGCCGGGATGGCGGGCCGGGGGAAGCTGATTGCGGTGATCGGAGACGAGGACACGGTGACCGGCTTCCTGCTGGGCGGCATCGGGGAGCTGAACAAGAACCGCCACCCCAACTTCCTGGTGGTGGAGAAGGACACCACCGTCAATGAGATCGAAGACACTTTCCGGTGCGGTAGCCAGCGGGGCCTGAAAGGGAACCTCTGCTGCCCGGGGCGGGGGCGGGGGCGGCCCGGGACCCGGCGGCGCGGGGCTGCCAGACCCTGGCCCACGTTTAGGCCTCGAGGGTCAGCGACATCGGCCTGCCGACCCTTCCGGAGTGGAGGTCTCCGCTCCCCAAATTCCCTTAGGAGGTTGGGGGCGGGGGGGGCCCGCTTTGTCGGGTTCATGAGTTGCCACCTCACATGACCGTGTGTCAGGAAAGGAGGGGAACCCGGCTCGTGACGGACGCCGCCCCCTCGGTCCCACCTCCCCTGCCAAGGTGGTGCTTCTGGCGGGTTCCCCCGAAGAGCAGGCTCTGGACATGGCGAGCTCCCTGCTCTTTGGCGAGCTGACCCCTAAAGGAACCACACCCCCGGTGAACACCTGGGCAGCCTTGGGCTCGGGCGTTCTTGTATTTTCATCTCCCTGCAAGGTCGAGGGTATCACTCCCACTTAGGGGCGAGAAAACGGAGGCCTAGAGATGACAAGGCACATGCGAAAGTCACATACGTGGTTTGGAAGAGACAGAGTGTAGACATCTGAACCCAGCCCAAACCTCTCTGCCTCTTAAGCCAGGTCCACAGTCTGGTTGTGCAGTCCTCCCCAGTCTGTCTTGGAATTTCCCATGGTCTTGAGCGCAGTGTGCAGAATATTAAATACTGTGACCTCCCCTCTGCAGGTGTGTCCCTAAATTCAGGCAGTGTCCTGGGGACTAGGACTGAGGAGTCCCCTGTTCTTTCTTTCACCCCTTCTCTGGCCCCTGTCTTGGTTCCCAAGTCCCAGGAGCAGAGCTCTCTCACTGTTTTGCCCTAAACAGCCCAGTCCTGAGCTGCCAGTTGAGACTAGTTCCTGTTGCCTGGGATATGACAGGCCCCGGTCAGGGAGGCTGATCTCTCAGCTGGTAAAGTGACCCAACTTGTCCTGGGAGGACAAATTTACCTCAAGAGCTTGCCATTTTTCAACCAAAAGGGACCTCAGAGATCAAGTCTAATTTACCCTAGGGTCTGGCACATAGTAGGTGCTTACTCAGTAATTTTAAATTTTTCTTTATTATACACACACACACACACACACACACACACACACTTATATTTATTGGTATCAGAGAGGGAGAAACAGAGAGACATAGAAACATCAATGATGAGAGAGAATCATTCATCAGCTGCCTCTTGCACTACCCCCACTGGGGACCAAGCCTGCAACCCTGGGCATGTGCCCAGACTGGGAATCAGTGATGCTTAATCACTGAACAACACCGGCCAGGCTATTTTATTTTATTTTATTTTTAAATATTTTTTACTGCTTTAGAGACAGGAAGAGACTTGGAGAGAGAGAAACATCCATGAAAGAGAAATGTCCATTGCACTCCCCTACTGGAGATCAAGCCTGCAATCCAAGCATGTGCCCAACTGGGAACATGTGTGATCTCTTGGTGCATGGAACAACACTCAATCCACTGGGCCACACCACTTGCTGTAAACAGTTGTTTTTTTTTAATTATCAATGTTAAATTTATTGGGGTAACATTGATTAATAACATCATAAAAATTTCAGGTGTACAACTTTATAACACAAGTAAAAAGCTTTAATGGAGAAATAAATGAATGAACAGGCAATCACAAGAAAGGAAGGTCCCAGTGTCAGGTTCCCTCTATGTGGAAAGTGTGACTCTTTCCTTACTCATTTTCCTCTTACTATGTTGTGTTCTTGGTTCATGCCAAAATTCCCCAGTGTTCCATCCCTGCCCTCATCAGCCTTGAATGGTCTTATCAATCCTTTTTTTAAAAGTTTAATTTGTTTTCTTTTGAAAGGTTAATTGTCCATGAGGTTTGCAAATTGATACTGAAAAGATTTTTTTTTTTTTAATATATTTTATTGATTTTGTACAGAGAGGAAGGGAGAGAGATAGAGAGTTAGAAACATCGATGAGAGAGAGTCATCGACCAGCTGCCTCTTGCACACCCCCTACCGGGGATATGCCCGCAACCAAGGTACATGCCCTTGACTGGAATCGAACCCGGGACCCTTCAGTCCCCAAGCTGACGCTCTATCCATTGAGCCAAACCAGTCTCGGCTGATACTGAAAAGATTTACACATTAAGAAATCTCATTCTCATCCCTGTCCTTTTCTACCTTATTACCTCTTCCCTCCACCCCTGTGCATACCCACTGAGCTTCTTTCTACTTTTTCTTCATGCAAGCACAAAGGGACAGACATGTCTGTTATCCCGGCTGAGCTGTCTCACACAAAGGCAGCATATGGGATACACTGCACCGTTCTGCATGGCCAGTGCACTTGGGAACCTTCTAAGCGGGGAGGTAGAATCCAGCTCGGACCACCTTGACCCCCAGTTTCTGAATGAAATTGATTCTGGAGAGGATGGAGAGTTTAGTGTAGTAACCTTTACCCTTGTCTTCGGTGCTCTCTGGAAGAAACCCATGCCCCATTGCAGCCTAGCCCACCAACTCGGAGTGGGCTGCCCCAGACTCCCTTCTCATCTCTCCCAACAGGCAGTTTCTAAACCGGGATGACATCGGCATCATCCTCATCAACCAGTACATCGCAGAGATGGTGCGGCACGCGCTTGACGCCCACCAGCGCTCCATTCCGGCCGTTCTTGAGATTCCGTCCAAGGAGCACCCCTATGATGCTGCCAAGGACTCCATCCTACGAAGGGCCAAGGGCATGTTCACGGCCGAAGACCTGCGCTAAGGGACTCCCTCGCCCCTGCTACCTCTCCCAGACTTGCCGTCAGCCCCTCTCTAAGTTTTGAGCCTCTAATTTCCAATACCCTGCCCCTTCCCACTCCATTGAGAGGCTAGATGAGGTGCTTCCACGTTGTTGGGGCTCTGTCAGTAAAATTAGGCCGGTTAGGGAACAGGAAACCTGATTGTCTCCTCTCTCCATTACCTCTCCCCTGTGCTGTTAGAGTGTGGTTGTTGATGTTAAATTAAAATAATGTTCTTCTCTCCAAACCGTGTCTGGATGCCAGAAAGGATACACGTGGGATGATGCTGTTGGAGGGATTAGATGGGCAGGGCTGGAAAAGTTCTGCCAGAGATGAAAGCAGAGAGAAGCTGGATAAGGACGATGGTGCAGGCGGCCATAACTCAAGGACTGGTCCTCTGAATCAAAGACGACCAGCTCTGGCAGGAAGGATGGGAGGAGACGAGCCTAGACCCCTGGCTCCCCAACTTTAGTCTGTATTGGCCGGGGGGACCTGACCCAAGGGATGGAAGCAGAAAGCACAGGTAACTGGAAGCCTGTGATGCTAGTCCGTGCCTGGATCCTGCAAAAGGTTTGGGGATCAAGGCTCTTAGCCAGAGGGCCTGGCCCGAGGCAGCCCTAGGAACAAGGTCTGCTGAGGGCACGGCAAGTAGAACCCTGGCCCTGTGTGAGGTGAGGCTTGGTTGCCTGGTGACTCCCTGGGCAGCACCTGCTGTCAAAAGGACTGCTTGCTGTGCTCTCCCCTCAGCTGCACTCACCCTGGGACCTCTCCTCTTGCCACCATGGCGCGGGAACTCAACATAGATTCTGTGCGGCAGAACTTCTGGAAGGAGCGACATCTGAGGGATCAGAAGTTGCGATGTGATTGGTACCTCAAGTATGCGGCGAAGGTGAAGGCCAAGCAGAAGGCTATGGCTGAAACCCGTCTCTCTCTCAAACTGCCCACCCTGTACCCAAAACCCCCACTCTCACCCCCACCTTCCCCCAAAAAAGCCCCTTCCAAGGTTCCCAGCCCTGCCGCGGAGGCTCCTCTGCAATCAGAAATGTACCCAGTGCTGCCTGCCATCCGGGCCCTGCTGTATGAAGGGATCTCCCACGATTCCCAGGGGCGCTACTGCTATCTCAACACCCGGAAGCTGGACGTGCCAGAGAAGCGCTACCTCTTCCCCATCACCACCAACTTCACCTACGGCTGGCAGCTGGGTGAGCCCCAACCTCCTGGAAATTACCTCAAACACAGGCACCTGTCCGCGCCAGGCGGCGTGCTGGGCACTAGGCACATGGACACTCCTTTCTGGGGCATCCGTAAGAGCCGGAAAAGGAGCAGGAGCTGGTCCTGGGTGGGGTCAGGAAGGGGTGGGGTGTGTGCTGCTTTAGGTGGGATTGTGAGAAAGTGCCTGACTGGGCACCTAAATGACAAAGAGGAGGAGTTGGGAATTTATTCCAAGTGTGAGGTGAAGTCAGTGGAGGGTTTTAAGCAGGTAAGTGCACTGATTTATTTAAAATCCACTCTTACCTGTATGGAATGGCGTTTCCAAGGGAAAGCGTAGATTGACAGGTAAGTTAGGCAGCTACTTTGAGCTTGCCTGGCAAGAGATGAGGATAGCGTGGGCCAGGGAAATCAGCAGAACTGAAATATATTCAGTTTTGGAGGAAGAATGCGTGAAATTTCCTGATGGACTCGATGAGAGAGAAGAATGCACGGATGACACCCAGGTGTTTGGCTGAGCCCCTGTGACAGGGAAGACTAGGAGCGGAGCCGCACCAGAGGGTGTGAAGACAGGTCAGCGCTGGCCGCGTGCTGGTCAGTGAGGCTGTGTGTGGAAGCTGTCCCCTGGAGCAAGGTGAGAGCTGAAGATGCGAGCTTGGGGTCATCAGAAAACAGGTGCTCTTTACAACCCTGAGGTTGGGTGAGCTCGCCAGGGAACTACAGATTCTGGGATCTGACAGGAGAGGCACAGAGCGGGAGGGAGATGGTGTTGGTGTCTCTCGCCACTGAGTCCACTTTTTCTTGGAGGCTGAGTCAAGGTCATCGGGGGGAGAGTGGGGAGGAGCGGAGGCAGTGAGATAGTTTGAGATGAAGAGTGAAGGTGTGGGAAGGGAACATGCCAAGGGTGGTGCAGGATTGCTGAGTGATGCTGTGTCCCTTTGCTCTCCGTGGTCATGAGTTTCACATGAACGACTTAGTTACGTGTCTCCAGCTGCTCCAGTGCCTGGCGGAACAGGGGGTGTTTGGTTGGGAATTCACACTGCTTAAAGTTTGCCTAAAAAGCCTCCCCTCTCTCCCCAGGTCTCTAAAAAGGAAGTAAAGGGAGCAGTTTCCAACTAAAGCAGGAGGGAGGGAAAAGCCCCAGCTGTCCTAGAAAAGTCTAGCTTTGTCCCTTTGTGAGCAGGGTAGGGTCCTGCCACCTTTTTCCTGGAGAATCCTGAGGCTGGGGGCAGTGATGGTACACAGCGGAATGGCATTCTGCCATCACTGCTGCTCCAGGCACCATCCACTCCGTTTCCGCATAGCCCCCATGCCTCGGAAGAACTATTTATTTATATATTTTTATTTATTTCAGAGAGGAAAGTGGGGGGGAGAGAGAGAAACATCAATGATGAGAGAGACTCATTGATTGGCTGCCTCCTGCACACCTCCCACAGACTGAGCATGCAACCCAGGCATGTGCCCTTGACTGGAATCGAACTTGGGATCCTTCGGTGCATAGGCCAACACTTGATTCTCTGAGCCAAACTGGCTAGGGCAGAAGCACTTTTTATTTAGTCACGCTTACAAAGAGGATACAGTAAGGTCAGATTCCTAAGGCTGGGTAGGCAGAGCTACCATGTTCTGCGAGTTCCTTCCCAGGAACCCATTCCTGGCCTCTGACGTCTTTTCCCAGGCCCCACAGGGAAGAGGGAGCTGGCCTCCACCAAGATGTGCCGCATTGACACGTTCTTCCGCAAGAACGGGGCCTTCGCACCGCTTGACCCTCGAGACCTGGTCCTCTGACCTGCGCCCAGCAGTGTGCCTATTAGGGGTTGGAAGAAGAAATGCGCCACCTGGTGGTGTGTGTGTGTCTGGCTCTCCCAGGCTCCGAGGCTGCATTCTGGGCCTTTTGAGCTACCTCTGATCTGCAGGTTGCCCTCTTGTTTCTCCTTAGCCTCCACCTCTGTCATGGCCCCTGTGAAGATTCAGCAGTGGTTAGAGGGGCTGAGCGCTACTCTCCGGCGGGCGCAGGCTCCTCAGCGCCAGGGGGGAGGGCAGCTGCTGGAAGTTCTGGGTGTTCCTGGGGAGAGAGTGGCCTGTTATCCCAGATGCCAGGGAGAGGGGACCGCCCCACCTCACCCCACAAGCCTCTTTCCTCCCTCACCTGGCTCCGAGGGCCCGCAGGCGCCCGGTCCTCTTCTGTGAACCTGTTCCAGCTGCTCCCGCAGGGCACGCCGCTGCCCTTTGTCCTCCTGGTGGTGCTGAGTGCTGAGCGCCCTTGCATCCCAGCCCAAGGCTCCATGGAGCCAGCAGGGCCGGCACCAGGACACCCCCCCGCCCCCATTACCCTGCCCCCACCCCCATCCCCCAGCTGTGTGGGTGTCAGCTCCAGTGCACGTCGAAGGAACCCAGGTGGGCCCCACCCTCTATCCCTGTCTTCTCCCCGGGGTCTTGCCTGTGTGGGAGCTGAGCTGGACTGGGTGGGAACCCCGAGCGGGGGAGGGGTGTGCACCCGGCAGTGGCGGTTCCTGACGATGCAGAGGCGGTCCAGGACCTTGGGGGGGGGGGGGTAAGGGGGAGTGAGATGGAGAGCCGTCACATCAGCGGTGGTGGCCGCCTTCTGTGTCCAGGACGTACCCAGAGCCGCTGCTGCTCAGGGTCCCGCTGCAGCCGGTGCCTGGCTGCTCTGTGCAGCGCAGGCAGCTGGCAGCTGCATGACGCTCCTGCCCGCCCAAGCCTTTCCCTGCCCTGGGTTCGAGGCCGCAGCAGCGCTTCTCCACCCCTCGAGGTTGCCCGGGGCACCTCGCCTCGCCCACTGGCTGTTCTGCTGGGCAGGGACCCCCCTGCCGGATCCTGCAGGCCCTGCCGATTGCGCACCAGCCCTGGGTACCCCTGCAGGCTGAGGGGCGCTCCTGCCGCTCAGAGCTCCGGGCTCCTACGGCCACACTCTCCCAGGGCCACCGCGGACCCTAGTATCTGGCCGTTGGTTGGTCTTGTCCTGCTGTCAGCTTGGTGCTCCTTCCCCGGGGCCTGGGCTCTCCCTTCCCCCAGGCTTCGGCATCTGTCCCCCCAGAGACCTGCAGACCCCCCTCGGAATTTCTTGGAATTCCTCCTCCTGGGCTGTGGGCGCCTCCCACCGTGGGTCTGCGGCTCTCTGGCTTCCCCAGGTCTGGGTCTGCAGCGGCCCCCCGAGGTGTGCAAATGCTGCCTCAGCTGCACCTCCTGCATGTGGGCTCTGGACGGGGAGGGGCAGCCTGCCTGCCAGTCTCCCCACCCCCAGCAGCTGCTGAGCCTTCTCACCCCACCCTTAAAACACAATGCAGCGACCTGCCCAGCCCTGTACCACCCTGGATCCTGGGAGCTGGGCCTGGGGGCTATTCTCTCAGGGGCTGTGGGCAACCATATGGGTGCGACCGAGTGAGAGCCCGAGGAGGACCATGTGTGTGAGGACGGTGCCGGGCAGGGCTGTGGAGGGAGGAAGGGCCGGTGTTCGGCCTCTTTATGGGTCTCTTTATGTGGCAACACACAGTGTGCAGATTCCCCGGGAGCTAGACTCACCCTCCAGGGGCTGATGGTTCTGGCTCGGGGTGTCCCCAGCCTCATGTGAGGAGCACAGCTCGGAACTCTGGAAGGATTTGCGAGCAGCCTAGTCCCCAGGACACCAGACGGTGGGCAGCCTCTAAAACACCCCCTGAGCCCCAACCTGTTTGGCTCAGTGGATAGAGCATCGGCTTGTGCACTGAAGGGTCCCAGGTTCGATTCCGGTCAAGGGCATGTATACTTTGGTTGCGGGCACATCCCCAGTGATTGATGTTTCTCTCTCATCGATGTTTCTAACTCTCTCTCCCTTTCCCTTCTCTGTAAAAAATCAATAAAGTATATTTTTTTAAAAATAAAATGCTCCCGAGATGCCTCCTCCCGGCGTCCATGCCCCCACTGCCCCTCCAGGTGAAAGGGGTCCCTCCTGCTCAGGGAGCCCTCAGATGAGCCTGCAGTCCTGGCGGCAGGTCAGCTGGACAGGTCATGTGACACTCCCTCCTAGGAGGCCTTGGCCCAGAGCCACTGCCAGCCTGCCCCGGGTGCCTGGGCAGTTGGTGGCTGGGCTGGCCTGGAGACAGCCATCCTTCCTGTCACCACAGCGCCCTCCTTCCCAGAGGGAGGGCTGCGGAGGGGCTGCTCCGTGCGCCCCTCAGGGCCTCGCCGCCTGCTCTCCTCCTGCGCTGCAGCCATGTCTAAGGCTTCACCACGCAGTGGGTTGGCCTAGATAGTTGTGGCTGAGGGATTGTAACAGCTGGCACGGACAAGCAGGCCCCGTGCTCCAGGCCCAGCGCTGCACCCTCCTCAGGGATGAGCTGCTGGTCCTCCCAGGGTCCTCGCAGAAAGATGCTATCTTCCTCGTGGTGTAGCTGAGAGATTAGAGGCTGCAGTCCACACCCACAGGGTCAGAACAGGGATCTGAACTGGATTCAGAGCCATGCTCTTCCCACTTCCCTCACCAGTAGGCTTGCCCCCATGTCACAGTGACCGCCCCCCACCCCCCGCCCCAGCCAAGCCCTGCTCACCACACTCATCAGCTACTCTGAGTCCCACCCGCCCCACCATGGGACTCGCTGCGCTGGCTCCAAGCATGCAGGGCCGGGTCCCGCAGACCGCAGAACCAGGCCCGGGGAGACCGGAAGAGGCCCAGCCCTGTTCCAATCAGCAGCCCCAAGTCCCACAGGAGCTGCAAAAGGATGGGGTGCCAGATGCGAAAGGGTACTCCTCCTGCCCTCTGCCACACCCCCGGTCAGCCCCTACCTGCTCCTGGGCCCACTGGCTCCATTCCACCTGCAGCAACACAGTGGGAAGGTCATGTGACCTGGGAGGCAAGGTTGGGTCAAGCCCCACAGAGGCCCTGTCCCCTCAGAAGCAGTGCCCTGCCTCCCTCACCTGCCCCAGTGCAGCCCAGAGCTGGCCCAGGCTGCAGGGCATCGGAACAGGTGCTGGTACAGAGCCCAGACCTGCTTGAGGCTGCAAGGGAGCCATGGATAGGCCCCCAAGTGTGGCTGCCGGTGCCATGGAGTAGGGGTCTGCACAGATGTCCCCTCTCCCCCTCCCCGTGCCACTGGGGACTGGAGCTGAGCCAAGAGCCAGAGCCCCTGAGCTCAATGCAGGGCCCTGGTATCTGAGCCGAGGCCTGGGCCCCACCAGGCCTCCTGGAGCTCCGGCCTGCCTCGGAGAAGGTTTCCTGTTGTGGAGGTGGCCCACGGTGTAGGGTAAGGAGTGCGGTCCTTCCGGAGACAGGTGTGTTCATGTGCTTGTTTACATCCCAAATGAGTACCTGCTTTACATCCACATGCTTCCATGTACATATGAAGCATCACATAGGCACCTAACATGTTCAACACGGGCAGCAGCCGCCAACAGCCAGGACACACATGTCCCATACTTGTGACCCTTCCTCGCAGCCACTTGCTGGCGTGGGTGCTATCATCCTCATCCCCATTTTACAGGGCAGAACGCTGGGCCCCAGAAGTGAGCCGCCCAAACCAGCAGGTGGCGCTGTCTCCCTCACCCGGAGATGGTGGCAGAGATAAACAGGCTCCGGGAAAACATGGCCCTGAGTGTGAGCCAGCACAGGCAGGACAACGGGACAGGCAGCACAAGGGGACAGGCAGGACAATGGCGGGTGCTTCCCTAGCGCTGGCTCCAAGCTGTCCCATGCAGAGCTCTGTTCATGGGTCTTTCTGCTTGTTCCCTGCAATAGGGCAGATGAGGACACAGCCTGCATCAGCTATAACTAGGGGAGGGAACGAAGACGTGAGATGCTGTCATCTTCGCCGTCTCGCCGCTGCTCTAACCCCTCCCTGAGGGAAGGCAGCCCAGGGAGCAGCCTCGGCAGAAGCAGCTGAGCAAGCAGACACGTGATCCCCATGCAGCCCAACACGTGCCCCTCCTCCTGTGGAAATGTTAGGGACCCAGCAATGAGAGCAGGTCCCCTCGGATACTTTAGCCAAGGTCCCGAACACGCCAAGGTCACACAGCCAGGAGGAGGTAAAGAGGATTCAGGATAGAGTTCACTTTAAAAAGATATTTTCCTTTCTTTCCCCTACAAGGATGTCTTCAGAAATTGCACGTGTGTCCCCTGCCCACAGGCCCGTCAGGGTGGGGGTGGCTGTGGATGCACACTTGTGTGTGTGGGTGGGGGGGGGGAGAGTCTGTGCACTTGTATCTGTGTCTGTGTCTGTGTTTCATCACAGTCCTGGTCCCCCTCCGGGCACAGGGTCCCTCCATCACCAGCTCTCAGAGTGGCCAGGAGGCCCCTGATAACTTGGTGTCCCCAAACCAAGAGAAAGCAGGATGCCCCGTGGGGACTGAGCATCTTTTCCACGCACTTCACCCCTGCAGGTTCCACATGGATCCACAGAGGGTGCCCCATCGGGGCCACAGGCCATGCCTGCTACCTGTAAGCTCAGGCTGGGACCACGAGTGCTGGCTCCGCCTGCTCACAGCAGGGCAGCACCGGGGATGCAGGCACCGGAGTGAGCAAGGCCCAGAGCTGATTCCCACAGCTCCACCCCTCTGGCTCCGGGGACACTGACTTCTGGCCCCCACGCCCCAAGCAGCCCATGTGGCCACCCCAGCGCCGGGAGGAAGCACACACACACACACACACACACACACACACACACACACAAACACATACACACAAACACACACATACACACAAACACACACAGACACACACACACACAAACACACACATACACACACACAAACACACAGACACACAAACACAAGGCAGCCTTAGGGCAGGCCCCGCGTTTACTGCTTCTGACTCAACACGGCTGGGCTTTCTGGGACGTGGGCCCGGCTCCCGGGCCAGGCAGGGCGCGCCGCTGAAGCTCAGGCCGGGGCGGGAGCCGCTCTCCAAGGAGAGACTTCCGGTCGCATGAGTCCCGGCCGGTGTCAGCCTGGGTCCAGCGTCCCCCGGGCCTCCTGGCCGGGGCTGAGTGGGTCCCGGGGCGGCCGGTCCCCGGCGAGCAGGATGGGCGGGCAGGCCTCGGGCGGGATGCAGTGGGCGTCGTGCTCCACCAGGCCGGCGGGGCAGCGGCAGCCGGGCACGCAGGGCCGCACGCAGGCGGCGGAGACCTCCCCCAGGGGGACGTGCCGGTTGAAGCAGGTGCGGGGACAGGGCGGGCCGCACTCGTCAAACACGAAGCCGCGGTCCAGGGGGCAGCCCACTCCTGCGGGCAGAGGGGAAGGTGGGGCTCCGTCACCCCCTCACCCTGGGCAGCCCTCCCTGCCCCTCCCCCTCCTCCAGGTCTGGCCCCCTGTACCCCCTCCCCGGCCCCATGGGGCACTGCTGGCTCACCGCAGAGCGTCGGGCCCCGCCAGGCCGGCGTGGCCCCCGCCTGGCGACAGCGGCTGGCATAGGCCTCCAGGGCATCGCAGAGGCAGGCGTCGGCCGCGGAGCCGGGCCCGTAGGCGCACAGGTCGTAGACGCAGGCGGCGAAGAAGGGCTCGGGCGGCACCACGGCGTGGCAGCGGCCGAACGGGGCGGACTTCAGCACCGCGCACCGGGCATTGGCCTCGCGCCGGGCCCGGTAGCCTGCCGCCTGGCACGGGTGCCCCTCCTGGCCCTTGGCGCAGGGCCGCCCGGGCCCCGGCTCCTCGGGGACCTGGGTGGGGAAAGCGGCCCTGGCGTGACAGCATCCTGGGCAGCTGGCCTCAGCCTGCCGTTCTCCAAAGCACTTTCCGCCCGATATTTTGTTTTAGCTTCGAAACCTCCTCATTAGAACAGCAAGGGAAGCGTGAGCGACTTTTCTTTTGTCCCCATCGTGGGGACGAACCCAGGCCCAGAGCAGGCAAGTAACTTGTTCAAGGTCACGCAGCCCATGAGTAGCAAAGCTGGGCTTCTTGGGGAGGGAGTCAGATGATGCGGCCTTCCTGCCTCCTCCAGCTCCACGACAGGCAGGAAGCTCCCAAGCCGGCCTCACAGTCCCAAAGTCTGCCCCCACCTCCACACCAGAGGGCTGCTCTGAGACTCATGCTCACCTGTGCCGCCTCCAGCCCGGCCCCCGCCCCCCCTCTCCCTGCCCCAGGCTCCTGGGCCCCTCACCTGCCAGCTGTTCCCAAAGGCAGCCTCAGTGGGCAGGAGCAGCCCCTCAGGGCCCTGCAGATCGTCCTGGGCAAAGCCATTGAAGTTCCCGCAGAGCCCACAGGTCTGGCCCCGGTAGGAGCCGGGCACGCTCACCTCCACCCGGGACCGCCCGTCCCACAGCACCTGCGCGGAGAGGCTGGGACTGGGGAGGGGGGAAACCAAACCCAAGATCCACCCTGGCGCCCACACTGCGTCAGCACGCCCCCTGCTGTGGGAGGGAGGCTCTGCATGGGGGAGACGGCCCTGGCACTGGTCCCTGACAGCCCGCACTGCTCCGGGAAGACACCTGCGGCGTCAGCATCCCTGAGCTGGGCCCCAGGTGAAATGCAGCCTCTTCCAGAGACACACTACCTCCCGGGTGCGACGCAATTCCCGTTTGTATCGCAAGTGCAGACAAGCCCTAGTCTAGGAGTTTACAAATAGTGCTTCTTGCTGGATGCGGGGGAGTGCCCTGCTCTTTGGCATGGGAGTTGGAAGGAATCCTGAAACACTGAGGTCCTAGGAGTCCTTCCTCGGTTTTACCGATGAGGAAACCGGCCCAGAGAGGACGGGGACAGGCCAGGGCCCGGTGTGCTGATGGCTGAGTCCAGGTTAGAAACCAGGCCCAGAACTCCCGTCATTGCACCCAGAGGTCACTGACCCCATCCCTCTTCTCCCCTCAGCATCCAGCAGGACTCTCACCTCAGTAAGGCCCAGAAACTAGTTGGTAACCCCCACGCCCTCCAGACACAGAAGCCTGAGCGGCCCCGGGCCCTGCCATCCCCCAAACCCTCCCCCCTCCCGTGGCGCAGCCCCCAAACCCTCCCGTGGCGCGGCCGCACCTGCAGCCCCGGCTGGGTGTGCAGGATCACCGTGCCTCCCCGCAGCTCAGCGTACAGCAGCGGCTCCTGCAGGAAGGGCAGGGCCACGGGGCGCCCGTCCACCTGCAGGAGGAGGAGGAGGAGGGCGGGAGGAAGCCGTTGGGACGGAGGAGTGGACGGCGCGGGGTGGACCGCCCTCTCGGGCCCTCCCTCCGCGGCCTCACCGTGACCGCGCCGCCCTGCAGCAGCCGCACGGCCACTTCTCCTCCCAGCAGCACCGCCACCTCCTGGGTCCAGGCCACGCCGCTGCGGCCCCGGTCACTGTTGGTCACGTGCACACTGGGTGCGAGAGGCCGGGTGCAGGGTCAGCGGGGGCGGGTGTGGGGTGCGGGGTGCGGGCGGAGGGGGCTGCGCACCTGAAGTCGCCCCCGCGGCAGTGCCGGGCCAGCACGTAGCGGCAGCCGCCCTGGAAGTGCAGCAGGCGGCCGTCGAAGGTGCGGTAGTGCGGGTCTCCGAAGGCCATGCAGGAAGCCGGCCGCGGCAGGCAGCGGGGGCAGCAGCTGCCGGGGTTCAGGGCGGGAGCCTCGTCCTGGCCTCCGCCCGGGACAGAGTCAGACCCCGGGCCCGGCGGAGCCCCGCGCGGAGCCTCTGAGGACCCGAGCGGGCTCCGGGCGCCGCCTCGTGGTCGCTCCGGGAACTGCAGGACCCCGCGCCGCGCCTCCTGGGGGCCCCCTGCCCGCAGCTCCAGTGCCGTGGCCCAGCCAGGTGCCTCCTCCCCTGCCCGTTGCACCGGGATGGCGGTGACACATGCACACTCACCCCAACACGTGCACACACACACACACCCCCGCCCCAGACCAGCACTCACGGGGCCGCAGGAGAGCCGCGGGCAGCGCTGACTCTGGCAGCGCACGGTGCCGGCCACGCAGGAGCAGCTGGTGCAGGGGTCCACGGCCCAGCTGTCCCCGGAGGCCACCTGGCGGCCCTGGTGCTCACACGGCTGGGCGGGAGCTGAGAGATCTTGGGGATGGGGTGGGGGTCAGGGGTCAGCTGCCCCTCCCTCACACCGGGTCTCGGCGCTGCTCCCACCAGCACCCTGGCCCGCACCTTGGCATCGTTCACAGCACCTGCCGGCGTCTCGAGCCTTCACCCAGCCAAGTGGGCAGGAGAGGGCCTGGCACTCCTCACGGCGGCACTCCACGCGGCCCCGCTGAGGACAGAGGCCAGTGCTCTAGGGACTCTCGGGGGCCCTGAGGTCCCTGGTCACACTTCTGGGGCCACCTGGCTCCGTTCTGCGGCAGCGGCCCCTTCTCCCCGGAGCTGCTCCAGAACAACCACTTCCTGTTCAAGAGGGGCCTGACGGGCGTCCAGCCCTCAGCTCCGTGCCCTGCACAGGGCTGCCTCTGCCCCCTCTCACCGACAGGGGCGCCCTTCCCTAATTACCTCAAAGACACCCTCTTCCCCCACCCCCGAGATGCATGGCCCAGCGTCCTGAGGCCCCCCCTCTTCTGTAAGGCCGTGCGCCCCCACTCCTCAGCCCCAGCTCACATGGCAGGTACAAGTGATGCAGGCGTTGCTGGGGTCCCTCCAGCTCTCTCCATCCGCCACTCTCCGGCCCTCGGCCTCCACCACACATTCTGATGAGAAAGGAGGCTGGGGGAGCACCATCCTTCCGGCTCCTCCTTCCTCCCTGGAGCTCACCCCGAAGGCCCTCAGCAGGGGGTGCCCACTGCCCACTTGGCACCCTGCTGGTGTTGGTTTCTTCAGCCACATGCGGGGGAGGAGGGTGTCAAGGGGAAGGCCCTGCACGGGGCTTGAGGCGTGGATAGGGTTCTGGAAGCCTGAAGAGCCACAGGCCGCGGCCCTCCTCGGGCTCCGGATACCCTCGCAGGGGCCTGTGGTACTGAGCCCGCTGACAGGCCTCAGGCCAGGCCCTGAGAATCCAGGCTTCAGTCTCCGCCTCCCGCTGCCTCACGGGTCTCTCCTCCACCCCCATGACAAGCCCTCCGTTTCTACCAAAGACTGAGCCAGCATTTACCCTGGCACTCAGGGCAGCAGCCCCCGGCGGGGGTGTGACGCTCGGATGGGGGACAGCTGAGCTCAGGACAGGCCTGGTGGACGCAGAGCCAGGTCAGGTCCTGGGAAAGGGCATGAGAAGGCCACGGGTAGAGAACGGCAGGGAGGGAGCAGGCTCCGTGGAATGTGATGTTCAGGAAGCGAAGGCAGGGAGCTTCTGCAGGAGATTCGGCCACAGCCCATGGGGAGGCTCTGGAGCCTGGGAACCCCCAGGGCCGGACGGCTCACCTGGCACTGGCAGGTGTAGCAGGGGTCCAGCGGGGCCAGCTCCGACCCCAGCAGGCCCTCCGTGCAGTTGCTCAGGGCCTCTGTGTAGACAAGAACGCAGAGTGAGGGTTACAATGGGGGTGGGAGCAAGGGATGTCAGCCCGGATGCTCGCACCGACCCATCTGTTCTCAGACCCACATCCCCAGCACCTGGACTCCAGGAAGGACAAATCTTTTCCCTCTGGCTCAGCAGAGAAAAGTTTGGACTTTTCGCCGGGACCGGTTTGGCTCAATGGATAGAGCGTCGGCTTGGGGACTGAAAGGTCCCGGGTTCGATTCCGGTCAAGGGCATGTACCCTGGTTGTGGGCATATCCCCAGTAGGGGGTGTGCAAGAGGCAGCTGATCGATGACTCTCATCGATGTTTCTGACTCTCTATCTCTCTCCCTTCCTCTCTGTATAAAATCAATAAAATAAAAAAATAAAAAATAAATAAAAGTTTGGACTTTTCGAGAGGAACTTTGCTAGGCTATGGGGGGGGGGGGATTTGGGGGAGAGAAGGAGGGCAGCTGGAAACAGACCAAGTGTGGCTTCTTTAGCCCGAGGTCCGTGCTGCCTGTTCCCCGTCCACTCCCTTCACACTGCCCGGCTAAAACAGCATGAGAAAGCTCAGATATTCCCCGGTTCCAACCCTCAGAGCCTGTGCCATTGCAGGCAGGTCAATCAACCTCTCGGAACCTCAGTTTCTTCATCTGTAAAAAGGGAATAATATTGATACCTACTTCACTGGTAACTGTGAAAATTGAACGAGATACTGCTTATTAAAATCGCCAAGCATTGCATGGCATGCAGTGGGTGCTTAATAAGTGTTACGTCCTTTCTCTCTTTTCCTGATGCACAAGGGCTGACAAGAATGGCTCTCCCCATCTCTGTAGCTGGGCCACTCACTGCCCCTCCTGCCCTGACGTCACTGCCCTCAAAAGCCAGCAGCTGGCACAACTGCCCCCCCCCCCCTGCACAGCACCAACCGCTGGGAAAAATGAGTCAAGGAGTCCCTGCCAGCTTTCCGGGTTCCCCTTGGGTAGTGAAAGCCTCCCTGCCAGGACAAGGGCTTCTAGCACAGTCCTCTGGACTCAGGAAAGGTGTGGGGCTGGGACTGGGGCAGAGCGCTGGCTGGCATTTCCAGTGTCCGTCAGGGGGTGGCAGCCCTGCCCTCTTTTATCTGCCCTCTATCGGTGACTCACGGGCACAGGTGGGGCAGCAGTGCTGAGGCCCCGGGGGCAGGAGCTGGCTGGCGGGGCAGCCCACCAGGTTGGGGCATTGCCGTCGGTGGCAGCGGAGTCCGGGAGGCCCCTCAGGCTGCAGCTGCAACAGGAACGTGTGAGCAAGGGCTGGGCCCCAGACCAGGGAGCAGAGCCCCCTCTTCCTCGGAGCCCAGACCCCTCTGTGTGCCTGCAGCACCTCCTCAACAGCCCCCCGAACTGGCTCCTCACCCCTCAACCACGGCCATGATTTCCCTTTCCCTTTCCAGTCACTGGGCCTGCACCCTCTGTGACCTTTGACCCTCTTCCCAACCCCACTGCCTCATCTCTGCACCTATGATGTCACTGCCTGCTCCCTATGAATGGAGAGTCTCAGTGGCCCCAACCACTTCCCAGGTGTCTCCTCACCCATCCTATTCACACCCACTCTGCACTCACCCACTCTACACTCCTGCCAGGAGGGCCTGCCCCTACCTCCCCACACCCAGCACCGGTGCCATGGTGCCCGGCTAACCGCAAACTTCTGGGACCTGCTGGCTCTTCGCCCCAAGCCATGCCTTGCCTCCTGGCCACTGGGACACTCTCCTGTCTCTGATCCTCACAGTGCCTGCTGCCCGCAGTGCCCAGGCTGCCCCCATGGTGCTCCGCCCCTCAGCATGGCCCTCACCCACCTCACAGACGCACACTTCACAGGGGTCTGCCCCAGGCTGGAAGCTGTCCCCAGGCTCGTACTTCCGGCCCGCATGCTCACAGTCTTGGGGGTGGGGTAAGAGCAGAACAGGACCAGGGAGCCTTCAGCTGGCAGCAATGCCAGGAGTGGTGGCGTCCTCTGTCCCCCAGGGGCCCCAGCCCCCAAGATTTGGGTGTGTACAAAAATAGAAGCCACTTCCGGAAAGGCTGGTCTCTGCTGCCCCACCCAGTGCCAAGGCAGGGAGACACTGACCAGGCACTGCCTCCCTGCCACCCACCCCACCCCGGGCTCCCAGTACCAGAGCATCGAGGGCAGCAGTCCCCGGGCCCCTGGCGGGGATGGGCACAGGAGCTGACGCACTGGACTTGGGCGCAGGTGACCACACCCTCGTGGCACAGGCAGGAGGAGCAGGGGCTGTCCGGAGGCTCCCAGCTGCTGCCTTCAGGGTGCTCCGCCCCGTGGGCCAGGCAGCCTGTCCCGGGGGGCAGGGGTGTCTCTGAGTCTGGGTTCTGTATGCCCCCGTCGGCCCACCGTGGGTGGTCAGCAGGGCCTGGGGTCTGGCACAGGAGGGAGTCTGCAGGGGGGAGGTGGGGAGGTGGCCTGGCAGAACTGCTGTCTGTGGTGGAGGGAAGACACTGGGCCGGGCTCAGGACTCCTGGGCTCTCAGCCCTGGCACGTCTGCTTGCTTGCTGAACCAAAGGCCAGGCAGCAGGCACTGCCTGTTGTAGCCCAGCATCAGCACCAGCACCGGGCATGCAGCAGGCATCTAATACATGCATGCAGCATGAATGAAAGCCTCCATCGCTAACCATGTTACCAAGGTAACTCAGTCTCTCCAAGCCTTAGACTCCAGAGCTGCTAATTGGGATTTCCTCTGTGCTGCCCGCCCCCCAGGGAAATGCTGTTATGGCTCTGGAATCTATGCCGGGCAGAGGGCAGGTCAGAAAGGCTCCTGTTCAGACAGCCTAGGAGCAAAGGTGGTCTCTGCCACCCACCAGTTACATTACCTCTCTGCACTCAGCTCTCCCATCTGTGAAACAGGAGTAATGATAGTAGTGCCTCCCTGCTAGATCTCTGTGTGGATTAAAGTGCTGAGCGCCTGCTGTCGGCTCAGTGACTGATCATGATGGTTAGGAAGGGGCAGCTTTGAGGGGGCTCTGCTAGGCCTCTGCAGGGGGAGATGGTCTGGGGCAGGGGAGGAGGACAGGGGTGAAGACTCAAGGGCTGAGGCCTGGGTAGGCAGGGAGGTGGGAAGCCAGGAGGGGACCTTGAGGGAAGGAGGTGGGGCAGATGGAGGCACACTGGGCCCACGGGCGAGCACACCTCTGCAGCGAGGGCAGCAGCTCCCTGGCTCCGTGACCTGGAGCGGGCAGGCCAGGGGCGGGCACCGCAGCCGCACACAGCGGACGTGGCCGGCCTGCAGGAAATGCGGGGTCAGGGACTTCTCCCCGGCTTGGTGCCCTGAGGCAGTGTGCCCCCTCGGTCCCGCCCTTCCTTCCACCCTCCCCTCATACCTGACAGCGACACCGCTCGCAGCTGCCTGTGGGCCCCTCAAACTCCTCCCCATCCTGGCGCTCCCGGCCCTGAGAGAAGCACCCTGTGGGCGACATGCTTCCTGGTGGGACGCTGTGCCTCCTCGCCCTGTCCCACCTCAGACCCGGAGGAGGGTAGGGAGGAGGGCAGGGAGGGGCCCGGGTCTGGGGGTGGGGAGGCAGCTCACCGTGGCACACGGGGCAGGAGCAGGGACCTGGAGAGGGGTGAGGGCAGAGAGCTGGCGGGCATGGCTTCTTCTGGCAGCGCATGGAACCTTCCTGGGGAGAGAGATCGATCACACTGCCACTTCCTGGTCCCCACGTCATCACACCCTCATCCCCAGCTACACTCTGCCCCAATATGGGCCCCTACGAGCCTGCCAGGCCCGACCCCTGGCGTGGCCCAGAGGCCTGACCCCAGGCTGTCCCCTTGTCACAGCAGCAGTGCCCGGCAGACGGGGTGGGAGAAACAACCCGGGCCAGACGGGAGGGTCAGCGGCGACAGTTCCCCATCCCCGGGGCCAGCTCACCTGGCAGGTGCAGAGGGAGCAGGTGGGGTCCAGTGGGTCCGGAAGGGTCTCCCCCAGGGCAGCAGTGACCCCGTGATAGAGGCATCCTGGCAGAGCAGGGAAGGCAGGGGAAGAGCTGCTGCTGGCAGAACCGTCTCCTGCCTCGCACTCACACTCCCATGCTCTCTCACACACACACACGTACTCTCACACATGTACACACACATACACTCACACAATACACTTACACGCATACTCACTCATATACTCTCACACAATCACACACATGCTTACACACATACACTCGCACTCATACTTCCACACACACACACATGGAGTCACACACGCGCGCACACACACACACACACACACACACACAGGCCTGGGAACCTCTCACAGCTTGGGGGTCGAGTGGAAGAGAGGGTGGCGGGGAAGGGGCTGGAAGGGGTGAGCGTTGGGTGCGGGGAGGCAGTGGGGGTGGGGGTGGGGTCACAGCGGGAGGTGGTGGGACGTGGCGGTGGGCCACAGACGCTGAGAGTGGCCTGTCGTTGTGGGCTGCGCGGGGAAAGGACGGAAGGACGGGCAGACCCAAGAGGAAGGTGAGTGATGGGCGGGCGCCCGAGGCTCCCGGAGGCAGGGGGAGCCGCTGAACAGTGAGTCTCGGGATGTGCTGTTTTAGGAAGGCAGTGAGGCATGTAAGAGCAGGGAGGTGTGGAAGCACGGGACCAGCTGTGTGGTGCGCCCAGCACCAATGAGCGGGGACAGCAGGCACCGAGGATGCGGACAGGGTGAAGCGTGATGGAAACGCAGGCTGAGGGTCTTGGTGGCTGTCTCGGGGCTCTGGGCTGCGGAAGACCAGGAGGGCTGCAGAAGGGCAGGCGTTGCCCTACCCTGGCAGGAGGGGCAGCAGTGCCCGGAGGGGACGAGCGGGTGGCTGCAGCCCGGAGGCGCGCAGGGTCTGCGGCCGCAGGTCACAGTGCCTTCCAGGCAGGTGCACAGGCTGCAGGGCTCCCGGGGATCTGCAAACTCCTGGTCGCTCAGGTAAGACTCCCCGAGGTACTCACAGCCTAGGAGAGGGGACAGGGAGCGGCGGGCTGGGTCAGGAGGGGGTGAGAGGACAGGGTCACCAGCTAGGAGCTTGCCGCTGGCCTGAGTCTGAGGCCTGAGGCGTGGCCATGGTGGGAAGGAGGCCTCACCCAGGCCGATGGACGAAGGAGTGGAGAGCTGGGGAAGCTTGGACTGGCCAAAGGGCAGACTTTCTCCCGTTCACCTGCAGAAAGATCTCCCTGTCCGATCTATAGGGCAAACCCGCACAGAATCTGTGCCTGGGGCCGGATACCCAGCAGGCCACTGCCCAGCTGGAGGCACCGTTTTTTCCAGCCTGACCTTAGAGCTGGGAGATGCTTGAGATGCCTTAGGCGACTGGACCCAAGGCATCCCCTTCCCAATGCTCTTTCAAGCCCTCTGGTCAAGCAAGGAGGGGCCCGGGGCCCGGGGGTGGGGGGCCGCTTGCCCTGAGCACTGGCACATTCTGACCTTTTTGAAAAAGAAGGCACTTTGGGCGATAATGACCTGTCCGTGTGAGCTCAGCTGTAACCAACGTACCACCCTGGTGGGGACCCTGATAATGAGGGGGGCTGTCAGGGGGCAGGGAGGAAGTGGGGCAGGGGATACATGGGAAGGATCTGCACCTTCCTCTTAATTTTGCTGTGAATCTAAATTTTTTCTTTAAAATGGAAAGTCCGTCAAAATGAGGAAAAGGGGGTGAGTCTCAGGCTCAAAGCCTTAGAAGGCCAAAGTTTCTGAGTTGAATTTAATATTTGATTTTTAATTGTATTCACGTTAATGACAATGTTCTACTCCTTGCAAATCTAGTTTTCCATTTACAGTAGGCTATAAAGGTTCCTTTCTAAATAAATTTCAATTTCAATTTTCAATTTGAAGGAAAATAGGAAATAAATAAAGTTACAGGTGGTGGAGGGAATGTAGAAACAGCTGCGGAGATAATGAAAAGAGTGACCGAAGACTGGGGAGCGGGTCTTGTTCAGCTCTCTTTTTTCACAGGAGTTGAGATTAGGCCCAGAGTCACACTTAAAAATGGTTAAGATGGCCAATTTTAGGTTATGTGTTTTTTTTAAAACATTGGGGAAAAAAAATCAGGCTCAGAGAGGTTATGTAACGTGTCCAAGGTCACACAGCCCAATAGCATCAGAGGCAGAGAAAATCCAGGCTTTAGTCCAGGGCTTTTTTTTTTTTTTTTTCTTGTAAGAATGGGGCCCTCTCTAGGGCAGGAAGGATGCCTCTGACCCAGCCCTCCCGCCTTGGCCACCCCCATGCCCCCTGCCCTCACCGTCACAGGCAGGGCAGCAGTCCCCCCTGGCAGGGAACGGACACTGGGCGGGGGCACAGGCCCTGGGCTCGCAGCTGACGCTGCCCTCCAGGCAGAGGCAGACGTGGCACGGGACGGTGGGCGAAGGGAAGCGCGCCCCGCTGGCAAACTCCTTTCCCTCGTACAGGCAGCCTGGGGGCAGGGACAGGCCGGGGCTGGAGGCGGTGGCGGCTGCCCGCCAGGCCCAGCACCTCCCAGCACGGCCTCCCCAAACTCTGAGAGGGAGGGCCGGGCCAGGAGGAGGGGAGCTGGGGTGGAGAAAGGCAGACGGAGGAGGAGTGAGAGGGTGGCCCCAGGGGGAGGCTGCGCCCCAGGCTGGAGGAAGCGGGTGGCGGAGCTGCGGGGGCCGGGCGTTACCGTCACAGGAGGGGCAGCAGGGCCCCCGGCGGGGGTGGGCGCAGGGGGCGGGCGGGCAGGGCAGCCGCTGGCAGGACACGGCGCCGGCCAGGCAGAGGCAGCGGCGGCAGGGGTCCCCCGGCGGGAAGAAGTGTTCCTGGTGGCCCCCGGGCCTCGGGCAGCTGGAGGGGGAGGCTGAGGCCAGACAGCGTGCATCACAGGGCGCCCAGGGAGAGGCGACAGCGCACCCCCAGCCCCGGGGGGGCGCCCCGGGGTGCCCTTACCTGGGCACTGCGGGCAGCACTCCCGGGGCAGCAGGACGGGCTCCGCACAGGGCGGCGGCGGGCAGCGGCGGGCCAGGCACTGCACGCTGCCGCTCTGCGCGGACAGAGGGACCCGCGGCAGGGTGAGTGCTGGAGGCACAGTGACCTTCACCCCTCCCCAGCCCACCTGGAGTGCCCCTGGCCTCCCCAGTCCCACCCCTGCTCCCCCGACTCCTCCTACCAGGGGGCGGGCTCACCAGACAGTGGCACAGGCGGCAGGGGTCGGAGGGGTGGGGGAAGTCTGCTCCGTGGGGGTACTCTTTCCCACCAAAGGCACAGCCTGGGGGAGGGGCAGCTGTAGGCTTGGGGAGGCCCTACTTGCACAGGTCATGCCCCCTCCCGCTCCAGCCAAATGCCCACGGAAGGGGCCGAACGCTCCCGGGAGACCCCCTTCCTGCCGCCTCACCATCGCAGTTACTGCGGCAGCAGGGCCCGGGCAGCGGGTGGGCACAGGGGGGCTGGGGGCAGGCCCGAGGCTGGCAGCGGGCGTGGCCTTCCTGGCACCAGCACTCCTGGCAGGGGTCCCGGGGGTGGGAGAAGCGCTGGCCGTGCTCGAACACCTGATTCTCCAGGATGCAGTCTGGGCGGGGAGGGATGGGGGCGGAGACTGGAGGTGCAGGAGCAGCAGACAGCTCCTCTCCCTTGGGGGCACTTGGGAGCCGTCCCCACAGAGGGAGAGGAGGGGGCTGTGATGTAGACAAGGGTGTCTCTCTGAGGGCACGCATGTGTGTACTAGCATGTGCGTGCACACACATGTGTATACTAGCACGTGTGTGGTGTGTGTGCAGTCCTTGCACCTGCAGGCACCTGTGTGTGCCTTGAGGGTGAGAAGCAAAAGGGCTCCTGAGTGACACACGCTCTAGCACACGCTCCAGGGGCCAGGGCACACTGCTCTCCGGCAGCCAGGCTCCCTCATGGCACATCCAGACGTGTGCATGAGCGTGGTGTGTGACACAGACACGTGTGCACGAGCATGGTGTGCGACACAGGTATGTGTGCATGAACGTGGTGTGTGACACAGACACGTGTGCATGAATGTGGTGTGCGGCACAGACACGTGTGCATGAGCGTGGTGTGTGACACAGGTATGTGTGCATGAGCGTGGTGTGTGACACATGTATGCGTGCACGAGTGTGTTGTGTGACACATGCATGTTTGCACGATCGTGGTGTGCAGCACATACGTGTGCATGAGCGTGGTGTGTGACGACAGGTATGCATGAAACTGTGTGATACAGACAGGTATGCATGAAACTGTGTGTGATACAGACAGGTGTGCATGAGCGTGGTGTGTGACACAGACAGGTGTGCATGAGCGTGGTGTGTGACACAGACAGGTGTGCATGATCGTGGTGTGCGACACAGACACGTGTGCATGAGTGTGGTGTGTGATACAGACAGGATGCATGAAACTGTGTGATACAGACAGGTGTGCATGAAACTGTGTGATACAGACAGGTGTGCATGAAACTGTGTGTGACACAGGCATGTGTGTATGATCGTGGTGTGCGACACAGACAGGTGTGCATGATACAGACAGGTGTGCATGAGCATGGTGTCTGACAGACATGTGTGTATAAAACTGTGTGATACAGACAGGTGTGCATGAAACTGTGTGTGACACAGACAGGTGTGCTTGAGCGTGTGTGTGACGCAGGCAGGCAGACCAATACACTGAGCGGCGGGCGGGAAGAGGAAACAGGCTGGGGAAGAAGGGCGATGTGGGGACATGAAGAGAAACAAGTCTGCCTCCCACCCACGCCCTGTGTGCCCCGCTTTGCCAGATGGACCGTTGAGAAGGCCGCGGCTTCCCAAGGGAACTGCTGTGCTGGGGGGCGGGGGGGGGGCTCAGGCCTGGGTCCCCGAGGCAGACAGGCACAGCGAGCACGCACCTGGGCAGCTGGGGCAGCACTGGCCTGGTCTGCTCCGGGGCCTGGCGCATGTGGTGGGTAGACAGTCCACCGAGGAGCACCTCACGGTGCCGTCCTGGGAGGAGGGGAGAGGGCGGTGGGGGTCAGCCCTGAGCGGGGCTCAGAGGGCAGCAGCAAGCCCGGGGCTACCTCGCAGCGGCAGGCGTGGCAAGGGCGGTCTGTGTCCGTGAAGTTGTGCCCGTTGGCATACACGTGGCCGTGGTAGGTGCAGCTCTCACAGCTGGGGCAGCAGGCGCCTGGGCGGGCAGAGTGGTCAGAGCCCAGCTGAGCAGAGCGGGCGGGCAAAGCAGAGGGTGGAAGGCAGATCAGCTCGGGGCACTCACCAGGGGTCTGGGTGGGGTGCTGGCAGGGGGTCGGGGGGCAGGGCACAGCCCCGCACACGGGCACCCCGTCTTGACAGGAGCAGGCTGTGCAGGGCTCACCGTCAGGCTCCCACTGGACGCCATCGGCAAACTCCTCTCCGCCAAGCACGCAGGCTGGAGCAAGGGGGCTGTCACCACGGCAACCTGGACACCTCCACCCAGCCCTCCCCTTGCCAGGATCCCCGCTTTACCGCCCCTACAGCAGCCTCTGCATATACGCTGGGAGGGTTGGTGGGCTTAGCAATGTCCCCTCGACCTCCAGCCCCTTTGCAGCTGCCCCCCCAGCCCCTCCCCACACACCTGAGCATAGCTGGGGAACAGAGTCGGACTGGGTGCAAGGGGCGACGGGGCACTCCTGCTCCTCACAAGACACCTCGCCGGCCTGGGAGGGAGGACCCGGGTGAGGGCCTCAGGAGGAGGCAGACCTGGGGCGGGAGGCAGGGGGCTGCCTACCTGGCAGGAGCAGCGCAGGCAGCGGCCGCCCTCCTGGAGCCGGAAGGTGTCCTGGCTCTGGTAGTAGTGTCCCTGGTACTCACAGCCTGGACAGGAGGGTGGGGGACGGGGGACAGGGCTGGAGGCTGACGGGGAAGCCTCAGGCGCCCTGACATCTACCTCCCGCCCTGATGAGGACAGCCACCTTCAGGGGTCCCTGCCAGCCCCCCACCCCCGGGAGCCAGGGCCCCACCACAGTGCCCGTGGGCCACGAGAAGGTAAGAACTAGTCCCTCTTGGTGGGGAAAGGAGCTTAGCTTTTTTGTTTGTTTTTTTTTAAGTACATTTTATTGATTTTTTACAGAGAGGAAGGGAGAGGGATAGAGAGCTAGAAACATCGATGAGAGAGAAACATCGACCAGCTGCCTCTTGCACACCCCCAACTGGGGATGTGCCCACAACCAAGGTACATGCCCTTGACCGGAATCGAACCTGGGACCATTCAGTCCGCAGGCCGACGCTCTATCCACTGAGCCAAACCGGTTTTGGCAGGAGCTTAGTTTCATAAAGGATTTCCTCTGGACTTGAATTCAAGGGGGCTTCTGTAGCCCAAGGCGGCATCCGCACCCACACGCCAAGGACTCTCTGGCCAGTGCCCGCCCTCACCCAGTGCCTGGGGCCCCCCACTCACCGGCACAGACGGGGCAGCACTGCCCGGGGAGCCTGCCTGGGTGTCTGCAGGGCGCGGCTGGGCAGGGCAGAGGCTCGCACTGGACAGTCCCGTTCTGACAACAGGGCCTGGTCAGCATCGGGGAGGCGGGCCCGGGAGCCAGGCCCTCCCTGCGGGGCGGCCACACTCACAGCGCAGCGGCAGTGCGAGCAGGGGTCCCCGGAGCCCACCGGCTCCCCGCTGCGATACTCCCGCCCGTTCAGGAAGCAGCCTGTGGGGGAGAGGGTGCCTTAGACCCTCCTCAGGGGTCCCCCCCAACCGCTGCCCCAAGTCCTGGCCTTCGTGGGAGGCGGAGCCTGGCTGTCAATCAGGTCTGGAGCCCCTCCAGGCTTCACCCCCTGACTCACCATCGCACACGGGGCAGCAGGTGCCCGGGAGGGGCCGGGCGGGGTACGGGCACAGGCTGGAGCATTCTCGCTGGCGGCACTGGATGTGGCCCTCCTGGTGGGGGCAGGGGTGAGGCCATCGGAGCTCAGCCACGTGGTGGAAACAGCATTCGCGTCCCAACTACCCACTCACTAGACATTGTGATGAGTGGAATTGTGCCCCCCACAGACACACATTCACCTACTGGACGTGACCTTATTTGGAAATAGGGCGGTTGTGGAGGTAAAGAGGGTAGGTGAGGGCCTCCTAGAGTGGGGCGGCTCCCAATCCTGGGCCTGGTGTCCTTGTACAAAGGGGAAATTTGGACACACACACATACACACACTCCAACTTCCGGCTTCCAGAATCACAAGACAACACATTTCTGTTGGTTTAAGCCACTCCATTTGTGGTTCTTTGTAATGACAGCCCTAGGAAACTAATATCGATGTGTAACCTGTCTTGCTACTTAAGTCCTCTGTGACTCAGTTTTTTCATCTGAAAAAAAAAAAAAGAAACACTTTGGCTGGTTGCTTAATGGTTAGAGCATCTTCTCTCAGACTGAAGGGCTCCGGGTTTGACTCCTGGTCAAAGGCATGTACTTGATTGCAGATCCATACTCGGGGTACGTGTGGGAGGTGACCAATCAATCTCTCTATTTCTCTCTCTCTCTCTTTCTCTCTCTCTCTTTCTCACATTGATGTTTCTCTCTCCCCCCCCCCTTCCCTCCACTCTTTCTAAAATATAATCAATTGAAAAAATATCCTTGGGTGAGAATATAAAATAAAAAGAGAGAGATAACAATATTCCTCTCCTCATAGCCCTATAATGGGCATGAGGTGAGGTGTTGGTGTGGCATCAACCTCTGGAAGCTGGCAGTTACAAAACAGCAGCTTGGGCTACTCCCCCTGGACCATCCCTGGAGTCCATGCCCACATAGACCATCCCTGGAGTCCATGCCCACATAGGCCATCCCTGGAGTTCACGCCACACCTGGACTCACTGCCTCTAGCACCATTAGTGTCTGGGCAGCTAGTGACCCTTCTCACAGGTGTGTGCGGGGCCAGACCAGGGAGGGGAAGCACTTGGTCGTAGAGGGTCCATGGCCTTCACAATGGACCCCTTAGTCCTCGGCGGGCTGTTTGGTCGCTGGCTGCAGGCCCCATGAAACAGCCTTCCTCCGCAGGCACCTGCCTGAAGGTCTCCGGTCCTCATCTTCCTCCCCCAGGTTCTGCCCGGATGTTCCCTACATTTGGTGTCTCATCCAGTTGGGCTGCTGGAAGTCCAAGGTCAAGGTACCAGGAGTTGGCGAGAACCTGCTTTCTGGTTCATAGATGGCTGTACTTCTGCCCTCACCTTGCAGCAGGGGGTGTGGAAGCCCTAAGGGTGTGATCTCTTTCCCTTAGGACCTAAGCACCTCCCAGCATCCGCCTCCTAATACCATCGCCTCGGAGGTTAGGATTCCAGCATAGAATGGGAGGGGGGGGCGGCGGGGGGAGGGTGTCTCAGTCATTCAGTCCATACCCCCGGAGAGTCTTTCCCCACTTCTCCTGCTTAAATCTACTCACCCTTTAAGACCCAGTGAACACCACCCCTCCGAGGGGATTTTCTACAGCTGTGCTGCCCCATGGAAATATAACACACGCCACACTTGTCACTTTAAACTCTCTAAAGGTCACATTTAAAAAAAAAAAATAGAAACAGGTCGAACTAAACATTAATGTTCCACTCAACTCAATATATCCCAAATATTGTTTCAACATGTAATCAGCACAGCGTACATATAACGAGATAGCTTACATTCCTTCCTCTCTGTCTACATCTTTAAACTGGTGTGTATTCTGAATGAAAGCCCATCTCAGATCTGATGGCCACATTTCAAGGGCTCCGTCGCCCCATGCAGTTGTGGCAACTGATGAGACCTCGAAGTTCTAGACATCTCAAATCCATCTGCGTCTCTCCCTCCCTGGCTTGTATCACCTGCCACATCCTGCCCTGCCAGCTCCTGAGTTCAGTTCACACACCCATGCTATACACTGCCCTGCTCAGAGCTAAGCATGCAGATGGGCACTCTCCACCCCTGGCCCTGCACAGTGCCTTTGGGATGTGCTTAGTGGAAAGAAGGAATGAATATGCTGGGCCTGGGGGAGCGGAGGGGTGGGGAAACCAGGGAGCAGTCGGGCTTACCAGGCACTGGCAGATCCGGCAGGGGTCCCCAGGTACAGTCCATTCTTGGCCATGCTCCCAGTGAGAGCCACCTTCTGTGCAGCCCGGGGCTATGGGGAGATGGGCAGAGAGGAGGCCCAATGGGAGCCAGCCTGGACTCCAGTTTCAGTTTGCCACCACCCTCTTCTGAGCCTTCTTGGTGGCTGCCAGCGTCCCAACTGGGTAAGGCCACGCTCCTAGCCTGCCTTCCATGCTTTCCAAGACCCAACTCTCCGTGGAAGGTTTGTCTGCACCTTCCCACTTAACATCCACCACACTCACTCTTGAGTGTCTGTCCCAAGCCTCTGCTCTAGCTGTCCTCTCCTCCTGGGATGACCTCTGCTTATTCCACCCTTCACCTAGCCAACTGGTCTTTCTCCTTAAGGTTCACCCAGGACGCCTGCCCTCCTGTGCCCACGCTGGGCCAGGTCTCCCCCCTCTGAGTTTCCATGGTACCTGTGCCTGCTTCCACACCTGCTCTGGGGACAGTATCGGTGTGTGACTCGGTGTCACCCTCTAGTGGTCAGCCTCAAGGGCCCATCCGGTCTTAGGTGCACACAGTAGATAATAGTCGATATTATTAAGGTAGTATATCATTACCCACTCCTCACAGATGGGGAACTGAGGCACAGAGCAGCTCACTCAGAGGCCACAACCACCAAGGACAGAATCTGAGCTCAGGACCCGCTCCAGAGTGGGCGTGGCCAGACATCACTCTCCCACTAACCGGACCACCAGGTCCGAGCCAGCAGGGTGGGCTCTGAGTGAAGAAATGATGTGACAACCCTGCCTGGAGCCGCCCAGGGAGGAGCCAGGGCTCACCTTGGCAGGCCGGGCAGCAGTGGCCAGGCCTCAGGACTGGCTCAGGGCAGGGGCTGGCCAGGCACTTCATGGGCACACACTGAACCAGGCTCCTCTGTAATGCACCAACAGCTGTCAAGCCTCTGAGTCTGGCTCCCAGAGGGAGCAAGGCAGGCAGATGTGGACACCCTTGGGAGGTGGGCACAGGGTCAGGCAGAGGGTGAAGGGCCCCGGAATACATGTGAGGCTGGGCACAGGGGGCCTCCTGGAGTTGCAGGGTGCCTCCCAGGAGGAGCAGGGGCCTCCCCGGAGGAGCAGGGGCCTCCCCGGAGGAGCAGGGCCTGGGCAGAGGGTGCAGGGACTCACCAGGCAGGAGCATTGGAGACAAGGGTTAGAGCTAGACAGGAAGTTGGCCCCCTCCTCGTAAAGCTGCCCCTCATACTCACAGCCTGGGGGAGGGGGGTGCCAGGATGACAGGCTGGTCAGGTGAGAGCGTGGTGGATGGGAAAGCATGACCCCAAATAGGTACTGGACCCTCGGGGGCTGAGGGGTGGAGGGGCAGGCAGGGTGGGGAGGTCACCTGGCCGGCAGACGGGGCAGCACCCTCCCGGTGGGGTGTAGCTCTCCAGGCAGTTGAGCTCTGGGCACGAGGGCCCCTGGCACCGCACGGTCCCTGCCTGCGGGGCAGACACTGAGCCCTCCCTCCCTCTCCACCGCAGGTTACTGGGAGTTACTCTGCCGGCCGGGCAGGCCTAGCTGGCTCCGGGCCTCGATGCCTGGGTGGCAGCAGCAGCCCATCAGGCCCCAGGTTGGGCATGGCGCTGCCAGGCCTGGGGGTTCCCAGCAGAGCAGCAGGGACCTGGGTTGTGGGTGGGGCCCGGCTCTGATTCCCTTACCTGGCAGGTGCAGGTGACACAGGGCTCAGGTTGCCATGTTTCCCCAGCTCTGGGACCGTCAGGGCAGCCTACAAAACCAAGGCAGACCCCCAAGTAAGAGACCCAGAGACTGGCAAAAGCAACCCATGACAAGGGAGTACCATTCAGGAGGTGGATGGCAGAGATGTTGGTATTTACTACCATTGTCCAGGAGATGGCAGTAAAGTGTCTGGCTCTAACATTGTAGATCTTCAGTATTTACAGCGGATGAAAGTGTTGAGGAAGGGGTGCTTTTTAAAAAATGCATGTTTGTTTGTTTGTTAGAGAGAGAGAAGAAGGGAGAGACAATGATCAGTTGCCTCCTGTATGCACTACGACTGGGAATCAAACCCAAAATCTAGCATGTGCCTTGACACGGAAATCGAACTAGTGACCTTTTGGTGCATGGGACTACGCTCAACCAACTAAGCCACACTGGCCAGGGCAGCATGCCTTTTAAAAACATATGTAGCCAAAACCGGTTTGGCTCAGTGGATATAGTGTCGGTCTGTGGACTGAAAGGTCCCAAGTTCGATTCCAGTCAAGGACATGTACGTTGGTTGCTGGCATATCCCCAGTAGGGAGTGTGCAAGAGTCAGCTGATAGATTATTCTCTCTCATCGATGTTTCTCTCTATCTCTCTTCCTCTCTGTAAAAAATCAATAAAATATATTTTAAAAATAACATAATATATATATACACACACACATATTATTGATTTCAGAGAGGAATGGAGAGGGAGAGAGAGAAAGAAACACCAATGATGAGAGAGGATCATTGATTTGCTACCTCTTGCACGGCCCCTGCTGGGGATTGAGCCCACAACCCGGGCACATCCCCTTGACTGGAATCAAACCTGCGACCCTTCAGTCTGCAGGCTAATGCTCTATCCACTGAGCCAAACCAGCTAGGGTGCCTTTTTAAAAACAATTTCCACCAAAGACATAAATGGTCTAGCAGTGGCTGAGGTGCCACTTCTCCAGGCTGTGTGAGCACGTGTCGGGTTTTATCTGAGATCCATCAACTCCAGCGTCACTCCTCATCTCCCACCAAGACTCCCGGACCTCCCGCTTCCTGAGCCCATCTCCCCTTTCCCACTGCCAGCTGAGAATCTTCCGGGCAGAGTAGAGGATGCTCCATTAAATTTGAAATCCAGATTGTGGATTAAAAAAGGGGAGGGGGTTCAATGCAAGTAACCTCACGGGGCGATCTGATCAGGAATTCCTAATGGGCAGGTCACGGTTGGTAGTAGTGCCCAGGCCTATAACTTCTTAGTAAAAAACATACACACACACACATATACACTGTATTTTTTGGCGTATAAGATGACTGGGTGTATAAGACGACCCCCTAATTTTACAGTTAAAACATAGGTTTAGGCCTATATTCACTCTATAAGACTACCCCCCACTTCTGAGGCAACACCAGTTCTTTTTTTAATAGACCACCTCTCTGACTCTGGCCAATCTGAGCAGGCTTTTTACTAGAACACAGTAGTCATCTTATACGCCAGAAAATATGGTGTATGTGTGTGTGTGTGTGTGTGTGTGTGTGTATTTTTTTTTTGGGGGGGAGGGTATTTTTGCTTTTATTGTGCAAACAGGTTAACACATCTTTGAAATAAGCCAAAATCACCCTCAAGTGAGCACATAATCTTAACGATTTTGTAATCCAATTCCCGCCTTGCTTTCTCCAGCCTTCCTTATCTTCTTTCCTTAACTTCAAACTGAAGAAGCTGCAAGTCTGTTACGCTCCAGAACATCTGAGATCTTGCTCCTCGGCTTATGTCATCAGTTTGGCTCAAATAAACTCTTATAAAAACTATTTATGTGTTTGGATGTTTCTTGTGTTGACAAGATAAACAACTCCTACTTGTTTGGTGTAAGTGTGTTCCACATTGCATGCTTCCACTCAGAAAGCATGGCTTGCTCATCTGAACTGCACATCTAACCGGGCAGCCTGCCTTTTTATTTGCTAAATCCGACAACCCGTCTCCCCGGTCATGAGCTGACAACAAGCCCCCCCAGCACTGCCTCCGCTTCCTCCCAGCTCTCTTCACCTCACTGGCACCGCTGCCCTCCTGCTCCGCTGCTGCCTCCTTTTCCACTGGCCCATGGGATCCAACCATCACCAGCTCCTGCCCCTTCTTTAGAAATGCCCCTCCTGCAGCCACAGCCACCCCTGACGCTGCTTGAATAGGCCCCTAACTGGTCCCTCTGCACCCAGCACGGCACCGGAGGAATACTCCTGAAACACCCCTTTGAACATGCCACACTGGCTCTTCAGCTCTCCGCGGCTCCTATTGCCCACAGAAGAAAGCTCAAACTGCATGGCTTACAGCAGTCCGTGCCACTGGCCTTTCCAAGCAGATTTCCTGCATGCCCCCCCCCCCCCCCCCGATCTGTGTCCAGAGGGCCCTGCAGCACTGTCTCTTTCTGGTGACATCCACCTTTCCCTTGAAGACCTAGCTCAGACACCCCCACTGGCACCTGGTCTGGGTAGGATTCCCCCACCAATTACTGCCTTTCTACACCTCCTTAATCTGTTCATTGGAGGGAGGGAGGGAGGGAGGGAGGGAGAGAGAGAGAGAGAGAGAGAGAGAGAGAGAGAGAGAGAGAAAGTTGTTGTTTCACTTATTTATGTATTCATTTGATTCTTGTATGTGCACTGACTGGGGATCAAACCCACAACCTTGGCATATGGGGACCCCACTGGTGATCCATGAGGTCCAAAAGGTTGGCGACCACTGCTCTAACCAACTGAACTACCCAGCCAGGGCGTGCTCATTGGGTTTTGTATCTTCTCAGTGAGACCAGAAGCTCCCCGAGGACACTCTTAGACCCAGCCACAGTCAGCATTTTGCTGACTTGCTTCAGTTCTGAACTCCTCTAGCCACTGCCAGCTTGAGTGGGCAGGCACCCTCTGGGCATGTAGCAGGTGATGGCAGACCCTGGCCCCGGGGCCCCAGAATAAGTATGGAAGTGGGGCTGGGCTGGCAGAGGCTGACCTGGCTCACAGTGTGGGCAGCACGCTCCTGGCTCCAGACAGGGTCCCCTTGGGCATGGCTTCTGGCTGCAGGTGATGGCTCCTTCCTGTGGGGAGGCAGACGGTGGTGCACAGGCATCAAAGCCAGGAGGGTAGGGCCTCCAGAACCGAAAGCTCCGCACCCCCCCCCCCCCCCGCCTAGGGTTGCCAGAAGAGCCAGAGGCTGAGTCTGCTCAAGGGTCATGGGTGACTCCTGGTCCAACAGCAGAAAAGAGACATCCTACCCCCAACCCCCTCATTTCCCTGATCCCAGAAATCGTCTCTCCCAGGTGCCACCAAATTCCCAGAGTGGAGGAAGGGGACAAGGCCTTCCTCAATGACAGAGTGAGGGACAACAGCCAGAAGAAGGAAGCTTTGGGGGCAGGTGAGGGAGAACGGGTGGGTAGGTGACAAGGGCAGATGGACGACCGGGGCAGTGAGAGTCCACAGGAGAGGGTGATGTTGGAAGCCAGGCAACATCATTCTCTTTGCCCTCCGTGCTCCTGTTTGCCACGTGCATGGCGGTTGAGCCCCAGAAAGCCAAACTACTCAGAATCAGCTGAGGGCCACCAGGGGCAAGGCTTGGGGCAGGAACAGGCAGCGACAGGGAGGCAGACAGGTAACGGGGGCAGGCAGGGGCATTCAGGGGGGCCCTGGAACTCACCAGGCAGTGGCAGGTGGTGCAGGCATCGGGGGAGAAGGTCTCCCCATGGCCGTAGGCCTGACCATTGTGGCTGCAGCCTGGGTAGGAGAGAGTGCTGTCCCTCAGGCCCCCAGGCCCACCTCAAGGCCCCGCGGTGGTGCAGCGGGCAGATGGGGTGGCACTCACCGTGGCACTGGGGCAGGCCAGGCTTGGGATCACAGAGCGCGGCCCCACCCTGGCAGACGCAGGCTGTGCAGGTGTCAGGCTCCCAGCGGGCCCCCTCCGGCCAGGCCCGTCCCAGCGCCCAGCACTGGGGGGAAGCCGGGCGGCATTCGCAGGACTCCAGCTGCCTCACCCTCTCCTGCAGGTCCTGGTTCTGGAGCAAAGATTTGGGGGGGTTGGAGGTGCTGGCTCAGCTTCCCCCACAGAGTTGTGGGTTGAGGCAGCATGAGAAGGAAACATGACAGTTCCCGCCTAGACACAGGTCAGCCAGCATCCAGCTCAAACCATCACATTCTCACGACCGGGGTGGGGGTGGGGGTCTGGCTTGGACCCCAGGGGAGCATGGGGCCCCCAGGCTTCTCCTGTGGACAGAGGACAGCCAACCCCCCCTCAACAATTAAAGTCCTTTGTTCATTCAAAAACCCTTCCTGATGGCTCCATATGGGTGCTCTCTCATGTTTGCAAGTACATGGAGGAATAGGAAAGGCCGGGTTGACAAAACAGACAATCTGGAGGGTCTTCGTTTTCATGAAAGAAATGATATTAAGAACTGTTCACATAAGAATCTCTTCATGTGCCTTTAAAACAAAACTATTTTAGGGTCCCTTCGTGCCGCCGCCCCCAAGCCCAGCTCTGCTCTCCTTTCCTCCCCCTGCACAGGCTGCCCCACCCCACGCACAGAGCCCAGGCCCGCCTCACCCGTACCTGCTCTCTGAGCTGTGCCACCTCAGCCTCCAGCCTTTCCAGCGACTCCTGCAGAGGGCGCCACTGCTCCTGGGCGGCCCGGGCGGGGTCTGAGGAGCGGGCTGGGGCCTGCTGCTGGTAGTCACGGATGTCAGCAGGCCCCAGGGACTCCCCGGGGACAGCGCCACCTGAAGGCAGAGAACCCAGGATGGGCCTGTGGGTGAGGGGCTAGTGAGGTCCTGGGTTCTGTCTTCCCGATGACGTGCCCTCCCCTGTCCACCTGCCACCCTCCTCCGTGGAAGGAGACAGGGTCCGTGAGGCTGTCCGAGTGAAAATGTGGAGGGGAGAAGGGGAAGGGAGGAAGATAGAGAGGGAGGATGAGGAGGGAGCCCTGCGTGGACGAAGGTGACCCAGACCAGCTCTCCCCAGGGACCAGCCCCAGGGATGCTGGGCCTCTGGGGGCACAGGGAGCACCTCGACCAGAGCCTCCCTGCACGTCAGGGCCATTCATTCATCCTCACGTGGGCCAGGGACGTGGCCAGGGGAGCCCGGAGCTGAATGCCATGCTGGGAGGCCCAGAAGCTGGCACAGGCTGGGGTGCAGGAGGGGGAGACAGACGTGTGAGAGGCGGCTGCTTGAAGGTGCCCAGGCTCTGGTGTGAGCGAACCCTGCCTGCTGTCTTCACCTGTCAGAAAGGAGATGTGCCGAAACCGGTTTGGCTCAGTAGTAGAGCATCAGTCTGCGGACTGAGGGGTCCCGGGTTCGATTCCGATCAGGGGCCTGTACCTTGGTCGCGGGCACATCCCCGGTAGGGGGTGTGCAGGAGGCAGCTGGTCGATGCTTCTCTCTCATCGACGTTTCTGGCTCTCTATCTCTCTCCCTTTCTCTCTGTAAAAAAATCAATAAAATATATATAAAAAGAAAGGAGACTCTGTGTGTGTGTGTGTGTGTGTGTGTGTGTGTGTGCTATAACTCCGCTCTCTGTTCCCACCTCGAAGACTGGCCACATGGGGCAGGCTGGGTTCCAGAGAGTGAGACCAGGTTGCATTCCCTGAATGGTTTGGGGGAGCTCCTGGCAGGGCCCCCACCAGCTTGCAAGGCGCGGGGCCAAACGAAGACAGCTGTCCCCGGTTCCAGGTGACATGATGTTGAGGGAAAGGGGGACCTCTGAGCTCAGACCTAGGCTTGGACCCCTTTCCTGAGGCAGGAAAAGAAAAGCCGTGGCTGCACAGAGGGGCTGGAGGGGGGTGGGGAGGGAGCGGGGAGGGTCTTTCGTGGCTAGACGGGCTTCTCTCACGGACACTAGTGAGGCAGGGGACCAATGTCACCCACTCTCCCCTCCTCCACACTGCCATCCCCAAGGGGGGCTGGAGATTCTCGTCCAAAACCCAAGTTGTCCACTTTCTTCCACACCTGCGTGGCCTGGGCTCCTGGCTTGGTTAATGCCATCCCACGGACGCAGAAATCTGGGGCTCAGCTCCCCACTGCTGCCCCTCCCCACACCCCATGGTCTCTGGTCCCACCCAGGCGTCCCCAGCCCACTCCCCTCTCCTCTGCTCTCCTCTGTCTCTACCAAGAAGACGGAAGACAGAGTCCTCCCGCCTCCAGCCGCCGCTCCCCTTCCCTGGCACAGCCTTTCTGAACCACACGCCCGGAGGTTCCCAGCAGCAGGTCCCAATGTGCCACCCAACAGCCCTTGGCCGTCCTTCAAGGGCTGGTCAGGAAGGCAGCCGGTACAGGAGCCAGGGCAGAGTGCCACTCCGGTGAGTGCAGCCGGTACAGGAGCCAGGGCAGCCGGTACAGGAGAAGGCAGCTGGTACAGGAGCCAGGGCAGAGTGCCACTCCAGTGACCCTGCGCAGGGAGGGGCACTCTGCCCTGGCTCCTGTACCGGCTGCCTTCCTGACCAGCCCTTGAAGGACGGCCAAGGACCAAGAACGGGGTCTCAGCACCTTCCACCCTCCCCCCCAGCTTGACTCCCATTCCGCATGGTCCTCCTCTGGACCTGCTTAAGCAGGAACAGTCAGAGGGTCAGGGAGCGGCTGGGGGTTCCCTGTGACCCCCAGGGGAGACAGGGCAGGGCTGGGCCTGGAGAGACCCACAGAAAGGGCGCCTGAGGACTGCAAAGCCCGGCTACTCCCCACGGAGCCGTCCTCAGCTCCCCTCCCTGATCCCTCTTTTCCCGCCCATTCCGCTGGGGGAGAGCCAGGCTCAGCGATCCAGGCAGCTCCCACAGCGGGCCTCTCTTTCCCTCTTTCTCAAGACAAGTAATTAACTTCAGACTCCAGATTCCAGGGCCTCTCCCCCGCGGCGGCCTGCAGGAACTCCTCCCGAGGCCGCAGCAGGAAGCCCCCTCCCTCTCCTGGACCCCACATCCCGGCCTCCCAGCTTCCCCACCGCGCGGGGCCCCTCCAGCCCAGGCAGGGCCGGGGAGAGGCAGCTGCAGCCCCAGCTCCTTCCCTTCGACCAGTCTGAGCAAGGAGGGTCCTGCCTGGCGGACCCCAAGCCCTTGCCTCCCCAACTTACCTCTGCCCACCCCCTGGGCCTGTGCCAGGCTCAGGAGCTGGAGGAGGAGCAGCTGCGGAGCGGCCCCCAGCCCAGCCATGCTCGCTCTGTCTGGCTGCTGGCTGTGGTCTCGGCTCAGCAGGCACTGGGGGAGGCGGGGTGGGGACACGCCAGGCCGCCTCCCACCCAGGCTTTGTTCAGGGAGGGCTTCTGGAGTCTGTCAGCCTGCAGGCTGCGCCTACCCCCTGCTGGGCACCTCGACCCCGGGTCCCATTCCAGGCCTGACCCAGTCCTGCTCCCAGACCCCCAGGGAGTGGAGAGGGACTGGGAGCAACTTCTTCCTGTGATGCCAGAGGAGACCCTGAAAGTAGACACAAATGCGTCCCTCTGGGGCTCTGAGACAGCTGGTCTCCCTGCCCCCTTCCCAGTCCAGCTTTTTAAAAAAATATATTTTATTGATTTTTTACAGAGAGGAAGAGAGAGGGAGAGAGAGTTAGAAACATCGATGAGAGAGAATCATCGATCAGCTGCCTCCTGCACACCCCCTACTGGTGATGTGCCCGCAACCAAGGCACACGCCCTTGACTGGTATCGCACCCGGGACCTTTCAGTCCGCAGGCCAACGCTCTATCCACTGAGCCAAACCGGTTTTGGCCCCAGTCCAGCTTTTATCCTTTCTCGCCTGTGTACAGGAAAAGTGGATTGAGCTGGGTTCAAATCCCAGTTCGGCCAATTCCATATGCCCTTAAGCCAATGGTGAGCAAAGTCATTAGTCAACGGAGCCAAATATCAACAGTACAACGATTGAAATTCCTTTTGAGAGCCGGAAACTGACTTCTGCGCATGGGCCACGGAGTTTCAATCGCACTGTTTGTGCGCACCCACACGAGGTATTTTGGGGAAGAGCCACACTCAAGGGGCCAGAGAGCCCCATATGGCTTGAGAGTCGCAGTTTGCCGACCACTGCCTTAGGCAGTCCCCTTAACTTCTCTGTCCCTTAGCTTCCCTGTTTGAAGACTGGAGTTAATAATAACTACTTTATAGACTGGCAGTGTGGATTCAGTGCGATTAGCCGGGTAAAGAATTTCGGGTAGTGGTTGGCACATGCCAAGGGCTCAGTAAATAAATAACCATAGATGCTACCCCCTCTGAAATCAGGGCTTCACCTCCTCCTTTCTCCACCTATTCATTCTTCCCTAGGCTCTACTCACCCCCTGTGCACCCCAGCACACCCAGGCTTGGTCCCCGATGCCAAGGCCTCTGTTTGCTGCCTGGTCCCAGCCCGCTTTCCAGCTCCTGAGCTCAGGCCTGGCCTGGGGGTTAGCAGTGAGCAAGGCAGAGGGCAGGGCCGGGCCGTGGACTCAGCAGGCAAATGGGGCTCAGGACGGAAGTGAGGGGAGCTGGCCACGTGGGCCCACAAGTCTGGGAAACTCCTTAGTGCAGCTGGGAAGCAGAGGGAAGGAGGGATGGGCCCCAAAGTCACAGGCAAAGGGACACTGAGGGTGGAGCCGTGAATCCTGCCATAAAGGCCAGCAAATCAGAGGCCAGCCCTGCCCCAGCCCAGGCAGGGACAAAGGTCCCCCGGCCCACTCCCCATGCACCTTAAGAGAGGGCAGCTTCTCCCTCAGGCCTGTGGGCCCCTTACAGGGCCTGAGCAGTGGGCAGCGGGGGAGGGGCCGTGAGGCCCATAGGAGCAGAGGAGGGCCAGGAGCAGCTGGCGGGAAGGCACAAGGAAGTGGCAGCTCTGCCTCCGCCCGTGTAAGGAAAAGGATGCGTGTTGTAGGCAGGTCCCTCGGGAGGCTGCGGGGAGGAGAGGCAAAGAGCTGCCAAGTCCCATCCTGGAGCAGATGCTTCCTGCTGGTGACCTCGGGCAAGTCGTTTGCCTCAGGGTTAAATGTTCTTCGCTGTGCCCTGTCCTCTAACAGCACCGGCCTCACCGAGGTCTGTGAAAGTTAAACAAACAAACGGCTGGAAAGCGTGCTCAGCACGGTGCCTGGCATGTCGGCAATAACTCCTTTTCTCTCTCTCAAACTATGGTTTTATGGATTTTTAGACAGAGAGGAAGGGAGAGAGAAACATCACCCATCGGCTGCCTCCTGCATGCACCCCTCCTGGGGATGGAGCCCCAAAACCAAGTATGTGCCCTGACCGGGAATTGAACCGGTGACCTTTTGGTTCCTGGGTCGACACTCAACTGTTAACACTCAACTGCTGAGCTGCACCAGCCAGGTGACTATAACTCTTTTTTTTTTTAAAGGTATTATACACAGTCTTTTTTTTTTTTTTTTTTTTTTTAATAGATTTTTATTTTTGTTATTTTCTTAGTGGCTGCTCTAGGGTTTACCGTGACGGCTTACGCAGTGCCTTCCTGTTCCATTCAGGTGAGCTGTCCCCAGAAAAGGGCCCAGGAGAGTGCTTGGGCAGGAAAGCAGCATGAAGGGCGGCCTGAGGCCAGGGGGCCTGAGCTGGCCACACGGTGGCCCCAGTGAGCGGTACGGAGGCTGTGCTCCATTGGAGCCCGTGGGGCTGCACAACCCTCAGGGTCACTTCAGATCACATGTCAAGACAGACGTCCAGGACAGACGTCCAGGTCCGCGAAAACACATGTCCTCAGGCCTGCGCACAGCTTCTTAGGAGACCTGCGGTCAGACTCCCCTGGCAACCGCCCCTGTGGCTCCATCCTGCACCTTGAATACCTCCCAGTGCAGCCCCAGAGCGGATCCTCTGCTCCCAGGGACCAAGGGACTGTGGAGCGGGGTTCACAGGAAATGGTGGCTATCACCTACCTTTCCTTCCGGCATCCTAAAACTCAAGGCCTGATGTGGGACCTGCTGGAGGGCAAAGGGATGAAGGGTGGACTGAGGGGGGATCTGGAGGTGAAAAAGCTTTGGGAGTGGAGGGACACTACAGGCTTCTTCCTTTCTGGTTCTGCTAGGGCCCCGTGAGAAAGCAGAAGGTCCCTGTTAGAATCCTACTGGGAGTGCCTTCGGGAATTTTCAGGAATAAACCTGAGAGCCGCAAGCAGGTAGGGCATGGGACAAGGTGAAGACCCAGGGCCCCCTACACACCAGGGATCAGAAAGGGCCTCACACTACTCACTCAGACATCCACGGGCACCCAGAGTAGGGCTTTTGGGGTCAGAGTTCAGCCCCTGGTCGGTGGGACCAAAGCTGAAGCATAAAGAGGGGCACTGTGTCCTTTAACCTTTACCCCAGACCCGTGCCCCCCATCCCAGCTGATGCCCAATAGCAGGAGTTGCTGCTTATCAAGCTGTGGTCCAAGGAGGGGTGGCAGCATGATGTCTGAGGACCTCCTGAGAGGTCTCTCCTGTCCTAGGCCTCTGGGCCAACCACCGTGGTCCTCACCCTGAGGACGGGGGGAGGTTAGGAGAGGGACCAGCAGGGCAGCTGGGTATGGGCCCTGGAGGGCCAGGCGGAGCGGGACAAAACCGAGAAGGTAAGAGCAATGCATCTGCCTCTTCGTGAAGGGCCTGTTCTCTCTCTTTTCTTCTTTTCTGATTACTTAGAAGTTTTATTTTAGACTCACTTAAAGAGTTCTTTAAGACATCATATACAATAACCATCTTTGCTTGCATAAAAAGGAAGCTACAAACTACATTTATTAAGCTATTTATTTATTCTTTTAAAAATATATTTATTTTATTGATTTTTTTACAGAGAGGAAGGGAGAGGGATAGAGAGCTAGAAACATCGATGAGAGAGGAACATCGACCAGCTGCCTCCTGCACACTCCCAACTGGGGATGTGCCCGCAACCAATGTACATGCCCTTGACCGGAATCGAACCCAGGACCCTTAAGTCTGCAAGGCCGACGCTCTATCCACTGAGCCAAACCGGTTTTGGCTATTTATTTATTCTTGACATTTAGAATTTTGTTTGTTTGTTTGTTTTGCTAATCCTCACTTGAGAATATTTTCCCATTGATTTTTAGAGTGAGGAAGGGAGGGGGAGAGACAAAGAGAGAGAAACATCGATGTGAGAGAGACACATTGATTGGTTGCCTTCTGCACACCCCGACCAATGGGGATGGAGCCTGTAACCGAAGTACATGCCCTTGGCGGGAATGGAACCCTTCAGTTCGAGGGCCCCTACTCTACCCAATAAGCCAAACCAGCTAGAACTTGACATTTAGAATTTGGATCTACTGGGATCACTTTAAAATTTTTTATCTTTTAAAATTTACCTGCAATAAAATTCACTCTCTTCAGTGTGCAGGTCTGAGTTTTGGCCAATGCAGAGAATGGGAAACTACCACCACAATCAAGATAGGGAACCAGCCAAAACCGGTTTGGCTCAGTGGATAGAGCGTTGGCCTGCGGACTGAAAGGTCCCGGGTTCCAGTCAAGGGCATGTACCTTGGTTGCAGGCACATCCCCGGTGGGGGGTGTGCAGGAGGCAGCTGATCAATATTTCTCTCTCATTGATGTCCCTCTCTCTTCCTCTCTGTGAAAAATCAATAAAATATATATTTTTTAAAAAGATAGAGAACCAAGATAATCAAGGTACTCTTGTGCTGCTCTTTGTGGTAAACCCCTCCCCACACCCCAGGCCCCGGGCTGTTCTCAGATCTATAGGCCTGTCCCGAAGGGCGAGGACGCGGGGGCCTGGCAGCCTCTCTGAGGGCCACGATCATTCCCTGGGCACATGGGCCGCCTTTTCCACACAGACAACACCCCAGGGTCTGAGCACAAGGAAGGAGACCTCCAGCAGGCAACGCCCCCCACCCTCCTAGTGAAGGGAAAGAGTGGGGGCCTCTGAGGGTGGGGGTGCAGCTTGAGTAGGGCATAGCCCCAGGGAGCTCTGGCTGCCAGAGGGGGGGTGTCTGTGTGCCTCCGGGCTCTGCCTGCCCCAGGGGCTCGGAGAGGACAGCTGGTCATAGTGGGGCAGCCACCCAGAACCAACAGAAGACAGGATGTGCTGTGAGGAGCAGCGACCGCTGTGTGTATATTATTATCACTTCTGCCGCACACCCACATCCTCACTGCCGAACAGCCGCTCTGCGTTGTTTTTTTTTTTTTTTTTTAAATATATTTTATTGATATTTTACAGAGAGGAGGAAGGGAGAGAGATAGAGAGCTAG